TTATATGTTTATTCTATGGTTAAGCTTTTATGGAAGTTTGTTACATAATTCAAAATTTTAAAATTAATAAATTTTAAAATATAAGTCTATAAATTCAAAATTTTCTAAATTTTTAATTAATAACATGTTTTTTTGTTTTTAATTATTTGAATCTGTCACAAATGAAAATGTGGTAAAAAGGTTTCAATTGTTAAATGAGCGTCTGAGTGGTTTTCTAAGATATTTTAAAGTTTTTACATGACAATTTTATGTCTTTTATAATTTAGTATTTGATAGTTTTTTTACTATATTTTTGCCCCCATTGAACAAATTTTCTAGATCCGCCCCTGAGTATATGACAAATGAAACCAATTTGTAGCACATAAAAGTACGAATTAAAACTATACTTGGTGACATAAATAAACACTTGGTCAATCAACTCTTGTCAAATAATCCATAGTTTACAAAAATAATAATTAAGAATCATGATCTTATCTCGAATTTGTATTCCCGACCAAAAAGCATTCGTTATTTCATAAGGCAGTTTTAATTTTATTTTAATGTTGATTTGTGAAACTAAAGGAACACAAAAGTTTGTTGGTAGTTATCGTGGTAGTTAATTTAATCGATGAAATGAAAAGTACTTTTTTTTGTGCAATAAGATCATAACTACTATTATTATGAAAAAAGTACTACTAATCATTTGCTTTTTTTGAGCATACCATCTTTGAATATTAACTTAACAAATAAGCTCAACAGGGGAGAAATATATAAACAAATAAATCGTGCTTAGATTTCAAGAACATTACATGGCCCATTTGTACAATATACAAAATTCGAATGTACAGTTTAATAGATTTTGAGCATTATCGCATGGATGAATATGTGAAATGGAAAAGTCATTTTGCTTTAAGGTAGACTAAATTTTAAGATTAAAATTATATCATTATTTAGACATGATATTTGCTTGCGCCGTGGAACTTTAAGATTGAAGCAAACTTATTTAATTAAATACTTAATCTCTGCCGCCAAATATGAATTCGAAATCATATATTTAAATTTGATCTACACGTATAATCATGTATGACTGTCTTCTAATATCCTTTTTCAAATTTCAAAATTGAAATAAAGTAACAAGTTGTTTTTTCTTTTTGCTGCTTTGATTATATTCCATCGGCTATTTTTTGCTTAAACTTTCTTCACATCCTAATTATGTAGTTAAGAAGAAAAGTTTGAATTTTGAATATTCCATATATATTGGTTTGGTGTCTAGATGACTCTAGGCCAAAATAGTGGATCCGGCTTTGAGTTTGAGTGTTCTATACTGTATGGTTTTCTCTTTTGTCAATCTTTAAAAAAAAAAAAAAAAATTGTTTGGTAGAGTTTGGGTTTATTGAAAGAAATTACTAAATTAGCAATCCATTTGCCATTTGGTTGTGCGTTTCCAAAAACAGACACAACAAAACCGTCTGACAGAAAACGTACAAGAATTAATAGAACCAAATTGTCTAAGTAAAAAATTACGATAATAGAACCATCCAAACGCAGTACGCACAAGTATGAAAAACATGGAGTCAGACTCACTAAATTGATGACCATTAGCACATAACAGAAAGAATAACTAACCTTTAAGTAGCTAGTAAGGTTTGTTGTTCATAAAACCATTAGACTTATGAATGTTCTCAGTAAGTATGATTAAGAGAATGAGGCAGGGGAATTAGGAGATGTGGTCCATGCTTTGTCCTAATTAGTAACTAGATGGGAAATGATTTCAAACACTTTAGTTTCCTTAGCTTTCTTGGGGACCTTTTTTTTTTTTTTTAAGTTAAAACCGGTGGGCATTTAATTTTTATCTCTTGTTTTTTTCTCATAATCTTATAATGTTTATTTCATTTTCTCAAATATACTTCGTTTGAGCAAGTTTTCCGCCATCTCCTTCTAAAAAACTCTTAATTTAGAGATAAAATGATCGTATATCTAGTGATAATTATGTAACAAATGGGTAATATAGACCTTAGGTTGGACTCCCACGATGTAACATTGATAATTTACTTAAGCATAGATTGTGGTGGACTGGATTATATATGACCTCTTCTTTGATTAGAGTATATATATATATATATTTTTTGGTTAACACTACTGTTTTGTGAACATAACTAAAATCAATATATGTTCAAATTCACATTGTGACATATGAACGACAAGTACAATGTAATAACCCACTAAGCTATATGCTTTAAGCCCTTTATGAAAAGATACTTTCATGTTTTTATCAAGAAAAAGAGTCAAATGTTTTCATTCTTCACTAGCTAAGACGTTATTGTCATGTACTGTATATGACCGACGCATGTTTCGTCAACAAAAGAAGTTCGATATCTGTTTAAATAAAATACTTTATATGGTACCGTATTAAATGGAATCAAACATGTAATTTTCATGTCGCAATCTGGATCACGAGATCTTTCCGCAACATGAATGTCCAAGATAGCTAGGATCTGATGAATCACGTTCTTTTGGTGGTCAACTCGTTTTCATATAATTAAACACTAACCTAAAACAATACATTTTTGGGCTCATATTCATGAAGTTATAATTAATTCGACCAAACATGTACTCTATACTATATTCTTAACTCCGATGCGAAAATATTATGTTCTTCCTCACCTTAGATTGATGTAAGAAACAACAAAACATAAACTCTGTTTTATTTTTTTCTCCGAACGCAAACACAAACTTTTTATGCCTTAAGCTAGCCATTGTACCATCTTTCGTTAACAAAATGAATATATAGACAAATTGAAAAAATACGAGGTACAATTTGTTATACTTCAGAATGTTTGATCTAAGATCGATGTTTTACGCAATATTTCACTACTTGTATTATAAACTCCCATTCCAGCTATATGATTTAATATAAAATCCTGTTTTGAGGTCTTGCCTAGCATTTTGGGATTGAACTATATATTTTTCGTTAATCAATTTGCACGTCAATTCAGAAATAATAAGATGGGACTGTGTTTGAGTAAACTCGAAATAGTCATATAAATGTATCTTACATAGACGTATTCCACGAATGAGCTGTTAATGTATGGTTGATGAAGAGTCAACCTCATGACGAGTCTAGTGTTTTTTCCCGTACGTACGATTACGAAGTTATGGTCCTATTTATATCTTGTAATTCTCCATAGCTCTCCCATTTATATATATTTCCACCGACTTCTTCAAATAGTCTCTCTACCACACTTTGATATCTTTCTTGTATCATCCAAAGATCTCACTTACATCACTTCTTTTCTCCCTCTCTTTCTCTTACTCTCTAACCATTAAATTGCCCACCGTTTTTTAACTTTTGTTATAATGATCTGTATTCAACACGAATCACATCGACCACGACAAAAAAACACAGAGAGTTATAATTGTGAAGATCTGTGCATGCATGTTTTGAAACCCCCACTATTGGTTATTTTGGTATGTCACATATAATAATAAACAAAATAACATAACACCATGTATTATTCACTGCGATGCATTCATCACATAAGGCCAAAAACAATATGGCCAGATTAAATATCTCCATTCACAATTTCCCAACAATAATTATAAAAGAAAGAAAAAAAAAAAGACCAAAGAACGTAAGAGTATTCTGAGAGACAAAGTTGTAGGATTTGTAGCAATAGGAGTGAGCAAAAGAGTATGGGACTCACAGAACAAAAATAAATAATCTTGGTATTGAGTGAAAAGTTTCCATATAAGCAAAACGAACAATCTCTCAACAATCTTATCTACCTTTCCCTTACCCTCTCTCTACTTGTGTCTTCTTTCCCAACAAATATATACCTAAATGATCTTGACATGAGCTTGTTTAGAAAAACTCCACATCCTAAGAAAATTTAGCCTTGTTCCTATGTATATCTTCTTTAATGGTTGTTCATATATTATTTGGTTTGCAGTGATTTCGGGTCATCAACCAAATCACAGACACATGGATTATATATATATATATATATATATATATATATATATTATATTTTAACTTTTAGAAAATTACTAAAAATAATTACATATATTTCCCGTTCAGGTTCTACAAATACGCAAACAGTATAATATTTATTACCAAAATTAATGTTATCATTTATTAATAATTTCGGATTCTTCTCAATTTATGCATCCAAAACCAGTCAGCACAAATCGCACTACACTATAAACCCACGGTTAAAAAGTGAGTCCCGAATATCCTCGTTAAATTACATAGTTTAACCATTCCTATTATAACCGTGGTTAAAACTGTAAAATTTGTGTTTCAATAAATTGTCACACTCTTCTTCTATCCCTGGCGCTCACTTCTTTTCAAGCTCTCTCTCTCTCTTTTTCTCTCTCTCTCTTCTTGAGCCTCGCGTCTGCAAAGAGACAAAACCCAACCCTGAGACTTCGGTCAACGGCTTGCGGCGGCGTATAAGGATCATACATATACTCCGACAATGACGGTTTTCTCCGGCAAACAAGTCGTTCCTGTGGATTACGAAGCCGAGGTATCGCAGCGGCTTTTAGACGCCATCCTCGACGGAGATTTCAAAACGGCGTCGGACTGCGTCTCCGATCCGCTCGTCGACGTTAATTTCGTCGGCGCCGTCAGCTTAAAAACGAGGAGGAGCGAGGTGGTGCTCCGTGATGAATCACCGAGTGAAGTCCGAGTCGAGTATGAGGAGTTCAAAACTGATGTAACGGCGTTGTTCCTCGCCGTTAATTTCGGAAACGTAGCTCTCGTCAAGAAGTTACTGGTAAAACTTTTTTTTATTTCAGCCGTTTCTTAACGTTTTTAGCTTTTAGATTTTGAAACTGATAAAACAAAAAAAAATCTGCAATTAATTATACAAATTTGTTGTTATTTAATAAGCAATCGGTTTCGAATTATGTTTTTTAAAAAAAATAATCTTCCATCATTTAATTATTTTGATTTACTTCTGAGTTGAATTTTTTTTGTTACGTTCCATTGACGCAATCGTTGGAGAATTGATTTCCTCGTGATTTCCTTTTTCTTTTTAAATTTAAATTGCGTATTTTGCTGCTTAGTGGGTGATTCGTTCGTGGTACCTTTTTATGTATGTCTCTTGAATTAAAAGACCCAAAAATATACTCCTGTTCTGTCTGAACGCTTTACTTTACTCTTTTTTTCTTCCTCTCTTTCGAAATTCAAATTTCGGACACTGAATATTTTTTATTCTCTCTGCTTTTTAACTTGGAACTGGTTTCATTTATCTCGTTTTGATTTCATGATAGTTCTGATTTACTGGCGTGTGATTATTTCTGAATTTGTTTTCCTCATCAAGTAACAGAGTACTCTTTTGAATATTACTCTGTTACTTGGCTTTACCAATTTTTTTTTTTTACTTTAAAAAACGTGGATCGGATTCCGTGCTAGCTTTTAAAATTCATAACCTGTTGACTAGCTTCAATCTCACTGGTGAGGGGGTGTTAGGAATCTTCCAAGATGCAAAAAAAATGCAAAATGTTAAAATAAAGAAAGAAGATTTGTATTTCTAGTACCGAGTTATATTTTCAATCACACACATATAAACTTTGCACTTTCTTGATAGTCACAGAATCTGTTACTGGATGCTATAATTTTTGGATCTGAATTGTTCTTCAATGATGGATATTTTGAGACACAAGAGTTTTCCAAAGCTCACTATTTGGGTTTTGCAGTGATAATTGAGTGATTTGATTTGATTCCCTTGTTTTCCTGAAAGGAACTTATGACTTTTTAGTACGACAAGAAAGTGCTGATATAACACCATGTAGCTTGTTTGTGAAACAGAACCTGAGGCCCCCCCTCCCATTAGGTGTTGTCACTTGTCATTGGCTTCATCTAGTGTAGACGAATACTATATTCGCATACTTCCCTCTTTCCTTATAAGTCATCATCAAATGTCTGAGATCAAGCCATGCTTCTGTGTGTCAGGGTTGTTCCCTCATGTTCATGTAGATCCAGTTCAATTATTCACTTCCCATTATTGTATAACTTACTACTATACACTGTTCTTTTTTTTGTCTTCTTCTGGTCTTTGTATGTCACCCCACGTGAGTCTTTCGCATTTTGCAGTATAGATTAACCAAATATTTTACGATCTTAACAGTGCTCTGACCTTTACTGTAATATCATCTCACAGAACATTGGAGCTGATGTGAACCAGAAGCTCTTCAGGGGATTCGCAACTACTGTAGCTGTAAGGGAAGATCATTTCGATGTATTTGAGATTCTACTCAAAGCCGGTGCTTCTCAGCCTGCCTGTGAGGAAGCTCTAGTAGGGGCGAGCTGTCATGGACGCTCTAGGTTCGCTGAGCTGCTCATGGGAACTGATCTTATTCGTCCTCAAGTAGCTGTTCACGCTCTAGCCACTGCTTGTTGCAGAGGTTTTGTGGATGTCGTAGGGACCTTGCTCAAAGTAAGTTTTCATCTTGTGGTTTCAAAATTTGACCACTTTAGGTTTGTTCAATAACATCTAACAGAAGACATTGCTTCATTACAGTGCGGAGTAGATGCTAATTCAACCGATAGGCTTCTTCTTCAATCTTCAAAACCTTCTCTTTACACAAATGTTGATTGTACAGCTCTTGTCGCTGCCATTGTCAATAGGCAAGTCTCTTCCGTCCGCGTGTTACTACAGGTAATTTTTGGCTCTGCAAAATTAAAAAATTGTTTCCTTGCATAAGGAGAGAATATGTTTCTAAGACATCCAAGCTTTTCTTGTGATGATATGCACAGGCTGGTGTCAAGACAGATATTATGGTGAGGCTTGGAGCATGGTCATGGGACACCAACACTGGAGAAGAGTTCAGGATTGGAGCTGGAGTGGCTGAGCCTTACCCTTTGACCTGGTGTGCTGTAGAATACTTTGAAACAAGTGGCGAAATTTTACGTTTGTTGCTCAAAGTTCAGTCTCCGAGCGCTCCCCATAACGGTCGGACACTTCTCCATCATGCTATCCTCTGCGGCAACCAGGAAACAGTGAGAGTCCTCCTAAACTGCGGCGCCGATCCAGAAACCCCTATAAAAACTTCACGAGGCATTGGACTCCGACCAATTCATATTGCTGCACGTGATGGATCAGTGGAGATTATACAACAACTGCTTAGCTTTGGCTGCGACATAAACTCGAAGAATGATGCTGGGAATACAGCCCTGTTGATCTCTACAAAACACAAACATTCAGAGTGTGTAAAGGTGCTCGCCCTTGCTGGTGCTGATTTCGGTTTAGTGAACAAGTTTGGTCATTCTGCTCTTTCGACCGCTGAGTTAAACAAGTGGTCTCCCGGACTAGAACGAGTAATTCTTGAAATGATCCGGTTTGGTGTGGTTCCACATTCAAGCAACGCTTCCGTATTCTCGCCTTTGCTATATGTGGCTCAAGTAGGAGATGCGGAGGCGCTTAAAACTCTTGTAAAAGCTCAAGACATCTTCCTAGACTATCAAGACGAGGAAGGTTTTTCGGCTGCAATGCTAGCGGCCATGAATGGCCACGTTGAAGCATTCAGAGTCCTAGTCTACGCTGGTGCAGACATGAAGCTATACAACAACTCTGGTGACACAGTAGTCTCTCTGTCTGAGCAGAATGGTAATCGTGACGTGATAGAGAAGGTGATGCTCGAGTTTGCTCTTGAGAAGGACAATAGGAACATGGCAGGCGGGTTCTACGCTCTACACTGTGCTGCACGCCGTGGAGACGTCAAAGCAGTGGAGCTTTTGAGTGGAAAGGGATACGATCTGGACATCCCGGATGGAGATGGCTACACTCCACTCATGCTTGCGGCCATAGAAGGCCGTGGACATATGTGTGAATTTCTAATCTCCCGTGGTGCAAACTGCAATGCTAGGAACAGAAGAGGGGAAATGCTACTGGATCTCGCGACTGGTGATGCGGAGAAGGTGATCCGTAACGAGTTGTCCCGGAGGTTTGTGATAGAAGGAAGCAGTGTGATGAAACACACCAAGGGAGGGAAAGGGAAGAAGCATGTGAAGGGATTGAGAATGTTGGAATCAACTGGATTACTAAGTTGGGGAAAGTCGCGGAAGAGGAACGTGGTGTGCAAGGAAGTAGAGATCGGGATGAGCCAGCGGTTCAGGAAGAACCGAAGGGGAAAAGACAATGCAGGGGAGGAAGAAGAAGGGATTTTCCGGGTAGTGACTACGGAAAACAAGGAGGTTCATTTTGTATGTGAAGGTGGGCTGGTGTGTGCACAGATGTGGGTGAGGGGAATAAGACTTGTGACCAGAGAGACTATTTGTGGGATAATTCAGATTAAAAATTAGAGTGTTGTTTTGTATATAAAGAAGTTTTGAGAAAGGGAGCTTCATTTTGAAGGTAGTGTGCTTCTGGTTGTGTCGGGGCCTGGGGGTGTTTATAGTTGTTTGGTTGGCTTAAGAAGATAAGGTTCAAATTCCTGGTCTGATATCTGCAGTATATTTGTGTAGTAGCTCGAGTTGCATATGAATTGTACCTAGTTGATTTGAAATCCTCCAAATTGATTATTACCTTGGCCAGAAGAGAGAATATTTCAAATGTTGGCTTTACATGGATTCATAGCCTTAGATCCAGCACTGAGATTCGGCATATGATCAGGACCTGGATACTAAAAAAAAAACTTGAGGTACCTGTCTCTTTTAAAAGAACAAGCTGTTTTAAAAAAGCAATACAACACACATGAAGTCAGCACTTTTTGTTTATGAGTCACCAACTCAACAAGCAATAATCAACACAGACAAATAGAGAAACTTTGATCTTCTAATCGCTATTGTAACCATCATCATCATTATCCTTATCTTCATGGTCTCTCACCACTCGTTCTATGAACTGTTTTCGAACTCCAGCCATCACAGCTTCCCTTGAGGAGTCATCGTCTCCTCCTTTGCCATCATTAAGAACTGGCTCTGATTGACAGAGAAGTAAGGCTACACCTGAAAAACCAAATCAGTTGCAAGTATGTTCAGACATGAGTCTACAACCATTCTGCTCAAAGAATGATACAATCGCAAATGTGGTCACATCAGGTATCAGATCAGAAAAAAAGCTAGAGATGCAAAATGACATAATCATCAAAAACAAATGCACAATGATTATATCAGACAAAGAAGGCTTCAAACTTACTCTCTGGGGTGCACCTACGGCCAAAGCTCTTCAAGCCTACATGAGTTCCTTTAACGGCGCCATGGTGATACACGAGCAAGGTAGGAAGATTACAATCAGGATAGTTCGGAATACAATCAGTAGATATTATCTTAACGAACTTCGTTGCTGGATATCTACTGGCCAATTCTTCTAGACAACCCAATAGTAAACCACACTCTGCAACACTATCAAAGAGCAACAAGAACAATATGCCTTAATAGTGTCTCAAGCATGTAATTAGACTGGTTCGTCAAAAGGAAACTTCATTCACAAATACTTCAAAAGCATACCCATCTTTGTGTAGACATACAACAACCCAATCTTCAGCAGAGGCTTGTGTAACCTCCCGTACGAAATCAGATCCCGAGATGGGAGTCACAGTTCCATATCTTCTAACTTTAGCAGCTTCTCTTAGCTCGGACAACCTCTTCTTCCTATCAAAGCATCAAAACACATGAGCGCTTGTGAAGCATGAAGTGTGTTGCACAATAAGTCTAGCCTATCCACCAAAATCTGAAATTAGACACTACCCTTAACTGCATTCATATCCAAAACACAAACGAATCGAGAAATATCAGAGCTTGATAATATCATTCCCGATCCAGAAGAAGATGATAAAAGAGCTGTCTAGCTAGCTATGGCAACAGATCCGAGAAAATCGAATTCACAATCTAGAATATTCATCACAGTAAGGATTCTCTACTGCAAATTAAGATGGTAAATACAAAAAAAAAAATCGAAATGTTCAATTCGATCCACGAACCTGTATTCTTCGAGGAAGCGATCATCCTCGAGATCTTTGTCGTCCTCAAGATCCTCAAGCTCCTCCTCCGTCTTCTTATCAAACCAAGCCCGGTCCTTAGGAGCTGAAGACTCGTCTTGTTCCGGAGTATAACCCGGAGGTTTGAATGCCGGAGCTTTCTCCGGTAGATTCCCCAATTTCCTCTGGATATCGTCCCATTGAGTCGACGTTCCTTCAACGTCCTTGTACACAAAATGATAATCCGCCATAGCTTATAAGCAACTTACAAAGCTTCAAATCTTCTCCTTTAGATTACACAGAGAACCTTTGAATCTGAGATGAGAAAAAAGCAGATTGCTTTGACACTCTGTGATCGCAATCTCGTTCCTTTGCTGGAAGACGACTGCAATGCTTTAAAAGGTGATCCCCGAAATTGGTCTGATTAAACCGAGCAATACCGAGGCTATTGCTTATCTGATTCATACCGAACCGAGATTATCTGGTTTAAAAGACGGTTAGCAGTCGGTTTATTCGTCTAGAGTTATGCATAGAAACCGGTCGGAGGGTATTCTCTTATATATATTTTGGGGACATGTATTTTTATGGAGAAGATCCAGAGATAATTAAACAAACAAAACACTTAGCAAAAAGATTTTGAGAGGGAGAAAAAAGGGCGATCGATTAGGGTTTTTGTTTTTCGTTTGAAAATTCTGTATCATCAATCCAAGGTTCATCGGCGAGTCATGAACACGGTGGAAGCTGTGATTGCGTCAATCCAAGGTTTATCGGCGAGTGCAGAGGATTTAGCTGCACTTCACGATCTTTTGAGAGGAGCTGAGAGCTCGCTCCGAGCCGAACCCGATTTTAATTTCTCTACTCTTGGCCAGCTCGACGCCGCGAAGCATTCCCTCGGTTACCTGTATTTCCTGTGAGTTGATTTTGTTTTGTGATGTTTTGGATTTCTCATATCTCTTACTAGATTAGGTTCTCGTTGATTTATTGTGTATACTTCTGAGGATTATTTATGATTTTGGTTACTGGAACTTGAGGTGTATAATTAGGTTACAGTTTACAAGGATGATAAGTTCTGTTATTGGATTTCTGATTTTGATTTTTTTTTTTTGTATTGTTTGATTGTTCCAGTGAGATACTTACCTGTGGTCCAATATCGGAGGAGAAAGCTTCTGCTGAGGTTCCGATAATTGCACGGTTCATCAACTCCTGCGATGCCGAGCAGATTCGATTGGCGAGTGATAAATGTAATCACTGACTTGATGGGATCTTTTTTCGTCTTTCTGTTTTTAATCTTCAAGGAGATGAATGTTTATATCTTAACTTTTTAAATATTGCAGTTGTATCTCTTTGTAAGAGATTGAAAGACCTTGTTGTGTTCATTGGAGATCCCCTGCGAGGGGTAGCGCTACTGTTGACTTCTATTCAGAAGCTTCAGGTCTCCCCCAAACGTTTGACTGCATTGCATCCGGATCTTCTTCAACTATGTTTGCAAGCAAAATGGTACAAAGCTGGTTTCTCCATTATTAGTGATGATATATTAGAGGTTGAGCAGCCAAGAGACTTTTTTCTCTATTGCTATTATGGGTAAGCTAGTTTTCCTCATTGTTGTCTTTTTTTTTTGGCCTTGATCAGTGGTTGTATCAAAACACCACATTGAATCCATCCAGTGGTGTTTGGTTTATAGTATATTCTTCTTTTTTTTAATTCTCGTCACTTTTTGACAGGGGAATGATATGTATCGGACTGAAGAGATTTCAGAAAGCATTAGAGCTTTTTTACAATGTTAGGCATTCTATTTTCTTTTCTACATGCTTATTATTCATGAGTGACTTTCATTTTAGTGTGAACTGAATTGAAGTACTTGTATCAGGTTGTGACTGCTCCTATGCATCAAGGCAATGCCATAGCAGTTGAGGCATATAAAAAGTACATATTGGTGTCTCTCATTCACAATGGGCAGGTTGGCTGTGTTCTTTACTTTTTTTTTAACTTTATTTGTGTATCTAGTTTTCTGTCGTGGGAGCAATCATATTGCACAAGGCTGAAACCATTAGATGTTTTGAGTAATGTTTGCCTCATAGTTGCATCCTGTGTCTTATTTTCTCGTCAAGGATTTGTTAATCTTATGATGTCATTCTTATAATCTTATATAATTTTTAGTTAATCCTTTGATGTTATTTTTATAACCTTGTATACAGTTTACTAACAGTCTCCCCAAGTGCGCTTCTACGGCAGCTCAGAGGAACTTCAAGAGCTACTGTGGAGTAAGTTTGAACCGTAGCCATGAGTTGTATTTTTATTTTTTGAATGGAGGCTGGTCTTTCGTTCACTTCAGTCCAAAGATTACAGTTATTTTGTACTCTGTTCCAGCTAGATTTATTTACAGTCTTATAATTTTATCGTTCACCCTTTTCTCAGCCTTACATTGAACTGGGTAATTGTTACAACGATGGGAAGATTGCTGAACTAGAGGCATTGGTTGTGGCCAACAGTGTTGATTTTGAGAAGGTAAATTTCCTTTAAACACTCACCATAGTTTTTGTACCGATATTAACAGTCATTCCTTTTTGTAACATGGGGAAATGCTATTTTTCAGGATAAGAACCTTGGATTAGTTAAGCAAGCAGTGTCATCCTTATACAAGCGTAACATTTTGAGATTGACACAGAAGTACTTGACCCTGTCACTTGAAGATATAGCCAACATGGTTCAACTTGCTAATGCTAAGGAGGCAGAAATGCATGTGCTTCAAATGGTATTGTCGTTAACATGTGATTTTTGGAAGCTTTGCTTTATTACTTTAACTGGTATTTTGTCAATATCATGTTTTCTTTCCAACCATGCAGATCCAGGATGGTCAGATACATGCTCTTATTAACCAGAAAGATGGAATGGTCAGGTTCTTGGAGGACCCTGAGCAATACAAAACTAGTGAGATGATTGAGATCATGGATTCTGCTATACAAAGGTATGTTTACGAAACCAAGTGTTTTGATAAGTTTTTTTTGGGAATACATGGCTAAAAGTTGCAACTCATAAAGCCACCATGCTTTCTCTGGGGAAAAGAAGATATGGATATCAGTGGTTTTCCAAAGTACAAGTAGTAGCATCAAACAAGATTTGTGTTTTCAAATGACTTTCAGGACTATTGGGCTGTCGAAGAATCTCTTGGCCATGGATGAGAGCTTATCATGTGACCCTCTATACCTTGGAAAGGTAACTCAAAATTCCATGTTTCATAAAGACAGTTCTGTCCTTGAACCTATGTTTCTCAGACTAAGCCGTTTGACTAATTTTGGTCAGGTTGGACGGGAAAGACAAAGGTATGACTTTGGAGACGATTTTGATACTGTCCCTCAGAAGTTCTCCATGTAAACAGCAAAAGACCAAAAGCACCAGAACTTGTCTCAAAGGCAACCGTAGTTGTGAATCTTGAGGATGTTTCTTTTGGTTTCTTTGTTCATTTTTGTTGGTTTGAAAAGTTTCATATTTTTGTCACATTGGCCAACAAGTAGAGAAGATCATTATGGACCCGCAAATCTTTAAAATACTGCCCTTTGCCGCGTCTCTTTGGTGTGCTAATCTAAGCGACTCTTTTAACTCCTCAGTTCACATGATATAGTAGTCAAAACGCTGTCGTATCCAATCTGCTTTAATGTTAAAAACTGCGTGTCGTTTTATGGAAACTGATAGGCTGCCGTTTCGTTGTGTTTTGGGCTACTTCAGGCCCATTTCGATCTCGCTAAGCGCCAAGTATATTTTTATTTTGTTTTACTAATTTTTTATGTCGCATCTTCTCCATTTCGTTTTCAACCTGATTTCTCATTTCCCTCTCTTATCCTCAATGGAAAAAATAATCTGAGAAAACGCAGGTGAAGAACAAAGCTAAATCCTCAGATTCGGCGCCGGAGAATCTTTAAGTTTCGACATAATCGGAATCTTAGATTTTGATAATTCCTATGGAAGGGGTTATCACATGTTTCCATTCTAAATGCGTCGCTCTTCCAATTCGTTCTTTACCACTTTCTAGGGTTTCTTCACTTCCTCGGTGGAGGAACACTAATTTGGTCTCTTCATCGAGATCGGTTCTTCGGAGGAGCTTGTGCGTTTCGGCTTCGAGCTCAGATACTTTAGTCGCTGGCGGTTCACCAAAGGAAGACGAAAGACAGAGCAAAGCATCGAGCAGAAAGGAAGGAGATGACTCCGAGGATTTGAAGTTTTGGATGGACAAGAATGGTTTGCCACCTTGCAAGGTTGTTCTTAATGAGAGACCAGCTCATGATCAGAAGCATAAACCCATACATTATGTTGCTGCTAGTGAGGATCTTCAGGTGGTTGACTTAGCATTTCAGCATTTCAGCAAAGATTTATTTGCTTTTATACACTTCCATCGGGTTTTTCAAGTCCAATTTCTGGGATCTTATAGTGCATGTGTCCTACTAATCTGTCTTTTACAGAAGGGTGATGTGGCGTTTTCAGTTCCCGATTCTTTGGTGGTCACACTGGAAAGAGTTTTGGGAAACGAGACTATTGGTATGAGCCATTCCCTATTACGTTTCCCAGTCGAGGATTCCACTGTTTCAATAATGCGATTGTATTCAGATTAGACTTTGTTATATCCTCTTACTTGATTGCAAACCGAGAGTAGGAATAGGGAAATTTTGATGCTTATCTGAAGCCACTTTTCATGCAGCCGAACTGTTGACGACGAACAAATTGTCAGAACTGGCTTGCCTAGCTTTGTATTTGATGTATGAAAAGAAACAAGGAAGAAAATCAGTTTGGTATCCCTATATAAGGGAACTTGATCGTCAAAGAGGAAGAGGTCAGTTAGATGCGGAGTCTCCGTTGCTGTGGTCAGAGGCTGAGTTAGATTACCTAACTGGTAGTCCGACCAAGGTATTGCATTAGTGTATGCATGACATGTAATGAACTAGTCTAAAGGGTTCTCAATTCTGATCTTCTGTAACATGGTTCAGGCCGAAGTTCTTGAGAGGGCTGAGGGGATCAAAAGAGAATACAATGAGCTCGACACTGTCTGGTTTATGGCTGGATCTTTGTTTCAGGTGTTTGACCAATATATTTGCTACCTAAGACTTCGACTTCTGTTTTTCAATTTGATATATGGAATGCTAAACCGCGGCAGTGGACTTACATCATGTGATTTTTTTTTGCAGCAATACCCGTTTGACATACCAACTGAAGCATTTTCATATGAGATTTTCAAACAGGCATTTGTTGCCATTCAGTCCTGTGTGGTGCATTTACAAGTAATTATATTTCTTTTAAGATTTCCTCTTCACAACTTGTATGTCTTATCGTGTTTAAAAGAATACCGAGTTAGTTATAACAATATGGTATTACCTCTACTACTCTATAGCTAAATCTAAAGTTTAGCTTGTAGCTCATCAACTAGTCAGGCGTTGATTGTTGCTTCTTCTAATTTAAATTGTCTTCCTGTACTCAGAATGTCGGTTTGGCTCGTCGTTTTGCTTTGGTTCCCCTTGGCCCTCCCTTGTTGGCCTATTGTTCCAACTGCAAGGCAATGCTTACTGCTGTTGATGGTGCTGTTGAACTCGTGGTAGATAGGCCATATAAGGCTGGTGATCCTATAGTTGTCTGGTACGTCTGTGAGCCAAACTGCTTCCGACAGGTTGCTTATAATTCTGATCTATCATTCATACTTTTGCACTTCCTCCTTCATTTGAAGGTGTGGGCCACAACCTAATGCGAAGTTGCTTCTGAACTATGGATTCGTTGATGAAGATAACCCTTATGACAGAATAATAGTTGAGGTAATAATGAAGCTTTGTTGTGTCAGTGTAAACACTAGTGTAGTGTGATTTTCTCACTGTTTGCATGTTTTATGCATCATATGCACTCCAGGCAGCGTTGAACACTGAGGATTCTCAATATCAGGACAAGAGAATGGTTGCTCAAAGGAACGGAAAGTTATCCCAACAAATTTTTCAGGTGTGAACTTGTGAGTTGTGACTTTCTCGATTGAACAAGTCTACTCTGAGATGTTTTTCCTGATTTGTGTTTTGCATCCACCACAGGTACGTGTGGGAAAAGAAAGAGAAGCTGTCCAAGACATGCTTCCCTACCTACGGTTGGGTTACATGTCTGATCCGTCTGAAATGCAATCAGTAATTTCGTCCCAAGGTCCAGTTTGTCCGGTAAGTAGAGGATGAGTGACCTGGCAAGCCTTTTACTAAGCAATATTTTGACATTACCTTGATTGCGTCAAATGATCAGTCCCTTGTGAGGCCTCCAATGTTACTCCTACATAGAAAGTTGTTTACACTCTTGTAAAGGTTTAACTCTCCGTCTCTTTTGTAGATGAGCCCTTGCATGGAAAGAGCAGTACTAGATCAGCTTGCTAATTACTTCATGAGACGGTTAGCTGGCTACCCTACTACTCCGAAAGAAGATGCTGCATTGGTATGTCGTTAGACTTTTTGATTGCTACCTAACAAAACACTATTTTTTTTGTGTGGATTTCCTGCATGATATTAATAAATTTCTGGGTCAATAGTTGGCAGATCCTAGTTTGAGTCCTAGGAAGCGAGTGGCAACCAGGCTTGTCCAATTGGAGAAGAAAATACTAGCTGCATGCCTTACGACAACAGTGGATTTGTTAAATCAGTTGCCTGATACAAGCATCTCCCCATGCCCAGCACCATATGCTCCATCCTTAAAATAAAAAAAAGGCACTTATCTCCTCCCCTCTCTCACTTGATAACTAGTATCTTCTAACTTTAAAAGTATGTTGGTTCAGGTTCGTGTTGTAGCTGCAATTTGTGGGACATGGCAGAAGAGTAATTCGTTCTCGTGTCTTTGATCAATTACAATCTGAGGTGGCTTAACGATAGTCAGTTTTTGTTATACAAGTCTAGATCTGATCCTAGCGTATGCTGCTCAAAAACATGACTAGGAAGTTTCCCAATTAATTTTGATTTTGTAAGATTTCTTAATAGCTGCAAGCTGAAATCTACCTTCTTATAGAAGGCTTAACAATTCCTGGATTCAGAAGTTGAAAAAAGTGTTAATACATTTCAAATTGAAATTGCAGGTATGTAGGGGTACTAGGAGCGTTACCTATCGCTTGACATGCAAATGTTTCAGCCAATGATTGTCCTTTTTCTTTCAACAATGAAGCTTAAGTCGCATTGTAGAAATCCTGCGAAATGTAATTACAGACATGAACCTTTCTGAACTCGCGTTGTGTTCAGTTTAAGTGCTTTTTTTTTTTTTATGTTGAGAGTCGTGTTCAGTTTTTCTGTTATAGCTTCAAAAGCCTAATGGAAAACAAAAACGTCAAGACGAGCAGATAGAACTAATAAAAACGGCACGCGTTTCTTTGACTGCGTTGACTCATAAAAATCTCCGCATCTAAAATATCTAATGGTGTCTATCTCTAGCTAGATCAAGGGTTGAAGCTGAAGTACCCTAGTCCGTCCGATTCAAATCCGACGGTGTATATTGATCGTTCTTTGCCGAAACTCGATAACCGCTGCACCGTTATGGTGGAAATCAGAAAGTGAAGAGAAGAGAGAGATAATCAGATATATTTCTCTCTCTCTCTCTCTCTCTACTCTCTCGGTCGTCTTCGCCATCTGCCTTTTCTAATTTTATCAAGCTTTAGGGTTTTACTAGTCGTGCTCCCTTCGCTCCTCTAAGGTTTCACTTCTTCTTACCTTTTCTCTGCCTTCCGCTTCAGCTGGATCATCGGTTTTCACAATTACTCTCAAGTTCAGTCGGTCTTCTTTGCGTATTCGGTCTTCACTTCCCTGGGGCAATTCGAAGTGTTTACGAGTTCATATATGAATTGATAAAACTAGGGTTTTGTGTCTATCGAATCGAGATTTCTGGTTTCTTCGTCTGCGGTGTTATATTAGATTTGTTTCAGAGATTTAGCTTTCTCAAGCAAATCCGCACCGTAAGTTTCCTGCAGGATTAGACTGATCCGGGGATAGACGCGAGACTAAGGGAATCAAATCAGAACTTCGTCGATATGACTGTGAGAAACGGTGGTTTCCCTGGAGATTATTGTTTTGAGACACCCGGTGGAGATTATGATGACGGGTCTGATAGCCCTAGTGCCTCAGAGGGTTCTAATTGTTCCAAAAGAAAGCTCGGCCGGTTAAACTATACTGACCATGAAACGTTTGGTGTCTCGAAAATGGTATTACCCTTGTCTGGCATGTCATCATCAGATAGGAAAGAGTTGATTCGTAGGCTAAGACAGGAGCTTGAACAGGTTAGGTATTTCCAGAAGAATTTTGAGCTTTCTAGATCAGTGGCTATCACTAGTTCTTCTGCAAGTGGTTTGAGTCAAGCCAAGAGTTTTGGAAAGTCTCGATGCTCCACTGGGCCAGGAAAGACAGTGAACCCCGTAAGTGCTGCGGCTAAACCAACTCCTGTTACTACTGCAGTGATGCTTCTGATGAAGCAATGTGAGGCGCTCCTAAAAAGATTGATGTCACACCAGTATGGTTGGGTCTTCAATACTCCCGTGGATGTTGTCAAGCTGAACATACTGGATTATTTTACTATTATTAAGCATCCAATGGATTTAGGAACTGTTAAGAATAAGTTAACTTCGGGGACATATTCATGTCCGTCAGAATTTGCTGCTGATGTCCGGCTTACCTTTAGCAATGCAATGACGTATAATCCACCTGGTAATGATGTTTATGTCATGGCTGATACACTTCGCAAGTTTTTCGAAGTGAGGTGGAAGACTCTCGAGAAAAAATTATCCGGAACTAAAACTCACACTGAACCGAGTAACTCAGATGCCCACGAGGAAAAACGGATTGTAATACCTGTACCTATGCCTAAGAAGAGGAAGACCAGTCCAGTGGACTGTGGGAACATCTTAGAGCCTGTTAAGAAGGTTATGACTGGTGAGGACAGACTCAAGCTTGGCAGGGATTTGGAGTCCTTGACTGAGTTCCCAGCACAGTTAATAAATTTTTTGAGAGACCACAACTCAAATGAAGGGGCGGTTGGAGATGATGAGATCGAGATTGACATTGACATTAATGATCTCAGTGACCAGGCCTTGTTTCAGCTGCGAGATCTCTTAGACGGGCATTTGCGAGAGAGCGAAAACAAAATATCAAGTGCTGAACCCTGTGAAATAGAGGTATTTCTCCTTCTATATATCATGTTTGAATGATTTAATAGCACCATGACTGCTGATATGGAAAATATTACTTATTGCAGCTTTTGCATGGATCAGTGCCAGGGAGTTCATCAATGCAACATTGTGATGGTTAGCTTATAGCCTACTTGTTGTTTGATAAATTTTTCTGGTTGACTATTTGATCAGATTGACACTTTCTGACTGCATCTTTATTATATATAGCGAGTGAAATAGATGATGAGGTTGTTGACATTGGTGGAAATGAACTCCCAAATTCAAGCATTTGTCCTGTCACGATAGAAAAGGATCTGGTGTTTGGAAACTCTAATGGTATCTTTCTTTAGCTTGTTTATTTTGTCATTATTGTTTAATGAAACTTTTGTTGGGGTTTGGTTGTTGCATTTATTATTTTCAAATCCGGACCTCAAATGATGTCAGGCAGAAGTGGTTATGTATGTAGCCATATTACTGCTGGTATAGTATGTCAGGCAGAAGTGGTTATGTATGTAGCCATATATTACTAGCACTCTTTCTTTTTTATCTTCTGCATTATGTATTTGGAGACTGATTTTTGCTGTGAAATGAAAGCGACTGATATTTGTGTAACCGTTTGAAAGTAGGAGGCCTTTTACATTCACTTGTTTGAAAGCAACTAAAATATGAAGTGTATTTTGTTTTCCGTTTCTTGTTTTTGTTGTGAATTTCAGACTATCCCCTGGATCGTACTAACTTCTGATTGCTCCTTTTTGGATGCATATAACTGATCCAGGTAATAGCTTGGAAAATGTGTTCGGTGGTCCTAATATCTCAAGTTTACCAAGGACATCAAAGGTACATATGATAAGGGTCTGGAATAACATGAAAAGTTGGATAACTGAGCTTTCGTGCGACACAATGTATATGTCTATGTGGATGTCTTTTTTACTTTCTCACAAAGTTAATATAATTTGATATGGAGGATATACTCTTTGACCACAGTTTTGTTACTGCTGGTATAATATGAAATGGATGGTATAGTCTGTGTGTATCCTGATATACCTAGAAACAACTTGCTTGATGATTCCCAGATTTGTTAGGTAATCTAATTGTTTCTTTGTGCTCCTGTCCTGCGCTGATATAGGGGATTGAAAACATGGATCTTGAATCTACGTTGGATGGAGCTACAAGTGCTTCCCCAATGAGAGGATGTGAGTATATTTTCTTTTATTAGTGCTTAAAATTTTGGTTTTGCTTGCTGGAACTTATGATATGTTATTTCCGTTCAAGTAGCATTGTCTGGTGGGTTAGATCAGCTGGAAAGTGCATCTCAGGAGAAAATAAGTTCTGTTGAAGAGGTCGATTGTCAGCAAGATGGTAAGATAAGAAGTGTGGCAGAAAAATATTTCTGCTCTTGTGTCTGAGGTGGCATCTCACTCTTGACCCTTTAATACACTAGGAAATAGTGGTCAGAATGAGAAGCAACTACCTCCTGAAAAGATCTACAGAGCTGCTTTTTTAAAGAATCGATTTGCAGACTTGATTTTGAAATCCCGCGAGAAACCTCTTAACCAGGTTTGTTGTGGGTTCGGACCCACTATTTAAGTCCTTTATAACCTTTGAAATGAATTTTCTTAAATTGTATGTATTCCTGAGATCAGAATGACACAAGAGACCCGGAGAAGCTGCAGCGTGAGAGAGAAGAACTTGAGCTTCAAAAGAAGAAAGGTTTGCTTCCTGGAATTACTAGTTCAAGTGTAGTTGGTTAAATTTACCATCTCTACGTGATAAAATTATACTGCAACCTGATATGTGCCCTTTCTTAACAGAGAAAGCGCGATTACAAGCAGAAGCCAAGGCAGCTGAAGAAGCTCGTAGGAAAGTTGAGGCACAAGCTGCAGCTGAAGCAGCGGCTGAGGCTAAGAGAAAGCTGGAGCTTGAAAGAGAAGCAGCACGCCAGGCATTGATGGAGGTAAAGATGTTTATTACTGCGTTGCATGTGAAAGACATTCCTTGGTTCATTGTATTTCATACCAGCTGAATGGATTAGTCATAACTATATTGTGATGGATGAACTCTATGGTTAAGAATCAGAAAAGGTATTTAAGGAAGAAATTTGGAATATCTAGCCCCACTGTTTGACTGAAACATGAGTTTTCATGGTAAATGATGCAGATGGAGCAGTCGGTTGAACTCAATGAAAACGCAAAGTTTCTCAAGGATCTGGAGCTGCTCAAAACAGTAAACACAGACCATTTGACAAATTCAATAGAGGAGGATGGGCCTGATGTGTCTCATGATGGGTTGCGTAGTTTCAGTTTTGGGGGTAGTAATCCTCTGGAGCAGCTTGGGCTGTTTATGAAACAGGATGAGGATGAGGAGGAAGCTGATCTGCTCACTTCACCAGCTCCTGGGATTGATATAGAAGAGGGAGAGATTGATTGAGCTTGTGTGAAGATCCACAAAGTCAAACTAAAGAATTATCTGGATTCTGAATCCAAAAAAAGAAAATATCTACTGTGTGTGATACAGTAGGCCCAAGCAGAGAGAGAGAGGCGTCCAGTGTAATATGTGACTGAGGAGAGGATTGGTAGTAAGCGTGGAAACATGGTCATTCATGAATTTAAGTTTTACTTGGAATGTTCGTGAGAAATGGCTTCTTCTAGTCTTAAAAAACTATTTCCTTGTTTGCGTTGTGCTGTGTTGGTCGTGGATTCTCTTCGTGCAGCAAAGACATGTGATTCGTGTGTAACAGTAAAATAAAAATTTGATAATTCGATTCTAACATTATAATGTTTTAACAGATTAAATATAAGATAAAAGGAAACTCGAAATATCTCCAATTACTCGATTCTGCAATTTGATATCCTGACCCTGACTAAGGGATTCTCTGCATGCCAGCTTTGTTTTTACTTGCGACTTCCCTATAGAATCAGGCTAGCCATTGGGAGCTGATAAAGTAAGCAATTCACAGTGGCGACTCCGACGCAGCTAGATTTCTCTTCCCCTGTTGTTGATGGTGGCGGTGACTACTCCGACGATACCTCTCCATCTTTCTCCCGACGACGAAAACCTCCACGGAAGCCTGCCTCAAAACGTGCTGCTTCCGAAACACTAACAGAAGAAGAGACGAAGAAGAAGAAAAAGAAGAAGGTTAGGAACAACAACAACAACAACAAGTTGGCTTCTCCGATGAGCAACCGGATCTGGAACGAAGAAGATGAGCTCGCTATCTTAAAGGTCTTTTATACTTTGTTTCATGTACTTCGTTACCGATGATTGCGTTGTGAGGTTTTGTGATTCCTTAAAGCCACCACAATTCTGATAATGCTCAGGGGCTAGTTGATTACCGAGCAAAGACAGGGTTCGAGACCAAAATTGATTGGGATGCTTTTTATCGTTTCGTCGGAGGTTCCATTCATGTGAAAGTCTCTAAGGATCAGCTGTCGAGTAAGATCAGGAAGTTGAAAAAGAAGTTTCTTCTTCACATGGAGAAGATCAATCAAGGAAATGATCCGCATTTTACTAGGTCTAGTGACTCTGAAGCTTTTGGGTTTTCAATGATGATTTGGGGCCAAACTGATGCTGAATTTGCTAATATGGATAAAGCACACCAGAGCGAGACTCAAGTAAGTGACACAACTGTATTTGATTTCATCTCTTTTGAATCAGTTTCCTTTTTTGCCACTAATGCTTATTGAATGATTTGGATATTGTTGAATCAGGAGGAGATGTTTAAGGAGGACGAGGTTGTCGCCTTAATTGGCAATGGGACAGCTAAAAGTGACTTTGATGATGGAAACGGTACTGCTGGAAAAGAGAATGATGGTAACAAGGACGATGATGAGTTGTGCGCAGTGCAGGATGCATTTGAGACCATGATGTCTCAAGGTTTAAGTGATTATCAGAAGAAGTTGCATGTTAAGAAGCTGATGAACCTCGGAACTGAGAAAAGAAGAGAGTTGAGCAATGAATGGAAAGCGTTATGTGTTGAGGAAAGTAAATTGAATATCAAGAAGCTTCGATTTTCAGCAAACCTTGCAGAGGCAGCAAATTAAATGATAGATGAAATGAAGAAAGCCACTTGCTGCATTTGGATTCGGAATTGGCTTGGATATAATATCTAGTTAGTGAATTGGTTCTTGCTTCTTTTAGTACTCATAAACTCTTAATGGATGTGGTTCTTGTCTGTCTTCACAAAGCAACTGGAATATGTGTGCTTAGCTTCACAGGAATTGAGTTCCTAAATGGCTGCAATGTGTGAGATTTTGTGAATCTAGTTAAAAAAAACAAATTCTCATTACTGGAATGGAATAAAATAAATGACCAGTGGTATTTGTCGCTTGTGAGAGAGAGAGAGTTCACTGCGGAAATGATATTATTATAAAGTTTGTTTTGGTCAATATAATATGATATAAAATTTAAATAGATATTTTGATAATACATGTGTCTGTAAATGTATCGATTGTAGCTTAGCTCGACGAGGGAGGCATCATCATCATCATAAGTTTCTTCCGTGTAGAGTCTTCTTCTTCTTCTTCTTCCATTGTGGCTAGGGTTGAGATTCCGATCTCAAATGTCGATCGATATCGGAGAAATCTCCATTCCAGACCTCCCACTCTTCTTCTCCATGTTCTTAACCATCTACCTAATCGCTTACTTGATCGTCTTCCGCAATTGGAAACCACAAATCCGTCCCGAAGCCTCCAGCTGCCTGATCTCAATCTTTCACGGAACTCCGGCGGTTTTCCTCGCCACACGCGCCGTCTTCTCATCCTCGTCACGCTCATTCTCATCCGCCAACACCGCCGCTCAAAACACCGTCCTCGATTTCAGCGTCGCTTACTTCCTCACCGATCTCGTCCACTACATCGTCTTCAACCCTAGCGACGTACTCTTCATCGGCCATCACTTGGCCACTCTGTTCGTCTTCCTCACATGCCGGTTCCTCGTCTTCCACGGAGCTTGCGCCATCCTAGGCCTCCTGATTCTAGCCGAAGTCACAAGCGCGTGTCAGAACGCGTGGACGCTCGCCGGAGCAAGGAAGGATGATCCGGAATCACGACTAGCCGTAAAAGTGTACGATCTCTTGTCCCCTCCGTTTTACGCCTTCTACAGTATCGTTAGGGGTGTGTTGGGACCTTTGTTTTTCGGGAAAATGGTTGCCTTTTACGCCCGAGGCGGTGCTCATGGTGTGATTCCTAATTGGTTGTGGATTTCTTGGGCACTTGTTGTTGGAACTGCCATTACTGTTAGTATACTTTGGATTTGGAACCTCTGGATAGATTTGTTTAGACAAAGGAAGGCTAGTCAACTACGACAAGACAAGAAAATTAGATAGTTTCTTACTTCTCTCAAACATCATTGATGTTTGAGGCTTCCTTCTCATGTACTATATAATATATTATATACCATTTTTATTTTCACCTTTTAGAATATTTCTCTAAGCTATGTTATGTTCTCCAATAATAGATTTGCTTCTAGATAACATGTCTGCAAATGCACTGTTAACTCACCTCTGTATTTGTTCGCAAGTTTTTCTAAGAGTTGCTACCCATTGACTTCAACTGTATGTTTTTGTTTGATAACTCTGTTTGTTTACGAACTTTGTGTATTTTGTAAACAACTCTGGTTGCCTTTGACTTGATGATATAGCTGCTACCGACCGTTTCACGGAAACTCTTGGTTCGACTTATTGACAGAAGAATGGTGTAGAACAATGCTTAATACTTTTCTAGGATTGAAGTGCCATTTCCTTGTTATTACAGTTTCAGTAATGTCAAACACTTGCATTGGATCGTATCAACCCAGATAGGTCATATTAGGAGTATATGTGATTTGTGTTTCATCCACTAGATCCTGTTCGAAATGACTCCGGGGTTAAAAGTTATGGTATACCTGGTAGCTTCAAAAGAGCTATATAACTAGTAGCATGTCAGCCACAATAATAAGTCACTTGTGGTTTTTCTGTGCGATGAGCATGTTTTGTGTAACCCTATGAGCGGAAAGAGGAAGTAGAAGCAAGCTACAACCACATAAGCTACATGTACTCCTTCCCAAAACCATATTATGGCTTTGCTTTGCGTCAGCAAAAGCCATCTCCGGCAATGCACTTATATAGGTAAAACTTCCTTCACAGGTTTACTTCTCACTCCCAGCTTTCTTTGTATCATTCTTATCCATTTCCGAAGCTACACAAGCAATCATGGGGTAACTGTTTGTAATATAGTAAGTGAATCTCTTAGCATCTTTCTTTATGTTTGCAGAAGATATGACGCACAAACAACGCAGAGAAGCTCGGCTTTTATGAGAAGTACGGTTCACAGATCTCCTTCGGGTATTGTCCTCCTGTGACCATGCAGACACTGATTTCAACAAGAAGTTGCTGTAACACAATGATGAGCTTAACCCAGCTCATGCAACCTGTCAAACCACCCACCCTTCAAACATGACAAGACCAACACCAAATCCCCTGGAACCAGTAATAGCAAGTCATATATTCTCAGTTACTTGGCATCATCACAAGTTAGTCAGGGGAGTACAAAACATAGATGTCCATATCTTCGCCTAGTATGATCATTGGATTTGGATTGTGAACTTTTCATGTATTGAAGAGGATTGTTAGCTTCCGACTTTGATACATGTCGGCACGGCTCGGCTTTCCTTCCCACCTTTCTTCGATTTACCAGGTGCGCTAGCACATTTTCTTTGGCACAAAACTCGCACTACATCTTTTGATCCAGAAATTGAACCCCCAAAAATAGAATAAGGTTGATATCATAGGACAAATCAAACGTTCTTACACCATAGACTCAAACCAGGAAATCATACAATGTTCACAAGCAGACCACCTAAAATCGCAAGGAAATGTAATCCACATTACACCACCTACGAAACCATAGCAATTGTAACAATAGACAGAGTCATCGGAGACGGAGAGTACATTTCATAGGAAAGTATCAAGATTCGAAAAAAGTACTTGATAAAACCGGCAAAGATAAATCGAAACCCATCAATGTTACCTGCTCGATCTCACTTATTCATTCTCTCTCCACTCGGAAGATTTTGGGTTTACGTTTATCGGCATATCGGGCAGGATCGAGATGGCCACTTCAATACTTCATCGCGGGAACTAAAACAAACTAAGGGAGAATGTCTGGGCTCCAACGGGCCTTAAATTAAATATATAAAAGCCCAGTAAGTGATAAGAAAACACGTGGCAGGGAATGAACCACATTACCGCAACAACAACATAAGAGCAACATTATAGGTAGGATGTTAAATTTTGATCTTAGCATTAATTTATTATTAATTTTGAAAAAGTAAAGTTTAAGAGTTATAATTTTTTTTTGGTTTTGAGATGTGTTTATTGGTAAGATCTTAAGTTGGGTATCTTAGAAAAAATAAATTTTATAAAATTAAATAAATTTATAATTTGTAATTTTAGAAAATTTTATAATTATTGCAAATTTAAACTTTGAAATCATACATAAGATATATTGTTTTTTCATTATATATTTATTATAATGAGAGAGAGAACGGATGAAAGAAAAATAAAGAAATTGTTTTTTGTTTGCATTATATCTTATATTATAATATCCAATAAAATTGGTTTAAAAAAAAACTACCCAATAAAATCATGACACGTGGCGCTTCTTACCACTCAATTTAGATCTTATGCAAGATCCTATCTTAGTAAAAGAAGTATATTTGGCATTTAATTAAATCATAAATTAGCTTAAGAATCAGCTAAGATCATCTAAGATCTTGCTGATAATGTTGGTCTAACCACGTCAACCCGAACCGGTAGGGTAACTTATGCCTCACGCAATAGAAACACCACTTTAACTTATGCCTCACCCAATAAAAAGCTCATCTCCTGCATTCTCTAACTACTTGTCACCTGTAAAAAAAAAACACAACCCTAAGAAAATACATACAAAACCTAGAATCCGTACAGGAGAAACTTAATAAGAGCCAATCATGCCGTGGAACAATATCAGAAACAGAAAGGTGGCTCTGGGTCTAGGAGCTGCCATTATGGCGGTAAGATCGACTATGTTCACAGTTGACGGCAGGCAGAGAGCTGTTCTTTTCGACCGATTCAACGGAGTTCTCGAAGAACCTATCGGATAAGGGACACATCGTAAGATTCCGTGGGTGCAGAAGCCTTATATTTTCGACATTCGGACCACGCCTTACCTAATCGAGTCCGACACTGGAACTAAGGATCTTCAGATGGTCAACCTCACACTTCGTGTTATGTTCGGCCCTGATGTAAGTTCCCGCAAATATCTTTTAAGAAAGTACATCAATACTATTTTGGGATATATTTAGAATAACATACAAAAGGCATAAGTCGATATTTTAACTTTTTTTTTTCCGTGTATTCGTGTTAGGTTTCACGCCTCCCGTACATATACCAAAACTTAGGCCTCAACTACAGCGACAAGGTCCTACCAGCGATCGGAAACGAGGTGTTGAAAGCTGTGGTGGCTCAGTTCAACGCGGAAGAGCTCTTAACAGAACGTCCACAGGTCTCGGCTCTTATACGCGAAACGCTGATCAAGCGAGCAAGGGAATTCAACATTGTCCTCGATGACGTGTCCATCACAGATCTCTCCTACGGTAAAGAGTTCTCGCGTGCGGTAGAGCGGAAGCAGGTGGCGCAGCAGGAAGCTGAGTGGTCCAAGTTCTTAGTGGCCAAGGCTGATCAGGAGAGACGAGCGGCTGTGATTAGAGCCGAGGGAGAGAGCGAGTCGGCTCGGGTTATATCGAAAGCGACTGCAGATGCTGGGATGGGGTTGATCGAGCTTAGAAGGATCGAGGCGGCTAGAGAGATTGCGGTCACTCTCTCTACGTCCCCCAATGTTGTCTATTTGCCGACTGGTGGGAATATGTTGTTTGCAATGAACGGTCCGAGTCCATGACCTTGACTACTTTTTGGTTGACTTGGCTACTTGAATTAATTGCAAAATCAGGGTGTTTGATTATTATAGGTTTGGATTTGTTGATCAAACAAAACAAATTGTAGGTTTGGATTTGTGTGTTTCTGGATGTTTATTGATTTTGTATTTTATGTTTTAAAATAATTTAATCAAGATTAAATTTAATATACTAAAATATATATTCCGTTTTACTCAGTTTTTTAAAAGTAATATTTGGAGTTCATTGCTTTCTCCAATTTTAAGTCCGCTATATGTGTAACCATATAAAGATTTGCTTTGGCCACTGAATCAGTTACTTGAGTTTAGTTTTATAATATAAAAATGTATAATCAACAAGACTGCCATCAAAAGAAAAAACATAAAACAGTCTAATTAACTCAACTCTACTGGAAAAGGATACTATATATGTTGTTCCTGAGGAGCCTTAAGTCTCAAGAATCGGGAGTTTAGTCTAGTATTCTTTCCACACCGCCTAAAAAATAAACACTTCCCTGCAAGGCTGCAAGCAACAATGTTCAAAAGCTAGAGACAAGAAGTCCAAGTTCAAAGGTTGATCTAATACTAGACTAAACTCCCGATTCTTGAGACTTAGGAACAGTGGCACATACTTCCTTTACTACCGCCAAGTGCGCAGATATCTGAGTTTCCAGCAGCTCTCGCTTTGATCAGGGATACAATTTCTCGTACGCTCGTTAATCAAAGTCATCTACGTTCTTTATGCCCTGACGTATTCATATCAGTATATTACACGTTATCTTCTCTTACAACTCACAAGTGTCACGTCGAAAGAAACTTTCTTTTATCTATTGTCAAAGAGTTGATATCAAAGGGCCTAATCGACCGATTCAAATATTGCAAATTAGCGTCAGCCTTTTTGTTAATATTTAAATACGGCCATTAGTAACTGTTTAATATTCTAAAAATTCGACCAGCGTCTTATACATTTCTCTGTAGAGTCTTCTATTTTTTAACTGATGGTCAAGTTCACCATGAGCGACCAAATTTTTTTGAAAATTTCAAGGTTTTTGTTTCTCATTTGTATCGTCGTTTGAGGAAACGTTTTTAATATTTTCTTTGAACATTGAACATTATTCTTTGAAACATTATCATTCAAGGTAGAACGGTCAAACAATTATTCTACCATTAATTCCTTGTTAATATTTCCCATAACTAAAACTAAATGAATGTTTTTCTTTTTTTTTGACAAAATAACGAACATTATCATAAATAACCAAATATGAGTTTGATCAATTAATCATGGATTTTGTAACTAAAAGAAATTAAAATTTGGTGCTGTCATTTTGCCACACGTCTATGATTAAATAAAACACAATGAGGTGGCAATCTCTATGATTAATAGTTTTGGAATCTCATTCTCATGCAGTAGTTCCAATTTATAAAGTAACTGAATAACAAAAAATACATCTACGCAAAGGCAAAAAAAAAAAAAAAAAAAAACTTTCAGCACTTGTACGTTTCTAGAAATATTTACAAATCTGAAAAAAAGCAAAGACAAAACTTTGGAGTTACGGTAACCGCGTTTCAGAGGATAATTGTTCTCATCTCTCTCTCTCTCTCTCTCTCAAAGAGCAAACACCGAATAGTAATAAGGCCAATGACACTTTCTCCACAATCCTCTCCTTTCTTCTTCTTCTTCTTCGTCATCATTTTGTTCTTCTCTCTAAATTGTATAGAATCCGAAACTGGGCTTTGATCAATTTTGACTCTTTGCATCCAATTTCGATTGTGAGATCTCCGTAAATTGTTCAGCAAATCTTCAGAATCGGGGGGTCATTTCCAAGTTTGGAAACAAACCCTAGCGAACCTCCATTGATGTGATCTCTCTCTTACTTTGAAAGTTTTCATAAAAATCTGGTCTTTTCTATAGGGAAATGCCAGGCGTAGCTGTGAAGCTCTATAGCGTCTTCTTTAAGTTACTTTTGAAACATCGTCTTCAAAATCTTATTTCAATCTCTGCTTCTGATGGCTTATCTGATTCGTTCGGTGTTTCCACCCGATCCGATGAATCCGTCGCCGCCGCGAATCCGTCTTTCACCGACGGTGTTGCGACCAAAGATATACACATTGATCCAATGACGTCACTCACCGTAAGGATCTTTCTTCCCGAATCTGCTCTTTCACCTGAACCCGATTCGTTACGCCACAAGGATAATTATCACAGCCAACCCAGATCTGATCGGAGACACAGCTACGGCCCTAATCACAACTCTCCGGCACCGGAGGAGAGGAATGAGTCGCGAAGGAACAGCTACGGTTGCAACAACGAGAATCTAGAATCGTATGGAGGATATGCGCCTTCTGCTAAGAGGAGTTCTAGGAAACTTCCAGTGATGCTGCAGTTTCATGGTGGTGGTTGGGTTAGTGGAAGTTCTGATTCGGCGGCTAATGACTTCTTTTGCCGGCGAATCGCCAAAGTATGTGATGTGATTGTATTGGCCGTTGGTTATAGACTTGCGCCTGAGAATCGGTATCCTGCGGCGTTTGAGGATGGAGTCAAAGTACTAAATTGGCTCGGGAAACAGGCTAATCTAGCTGATTGTTGCAAGTCTTTGGGTAATCGACGTGTCAATGGTGTTGAGGTGAAGAAGCTGAATGTTCAAGGACAGATAGTGGATGCTTTTGGAGCTTCCATGGTTGAGCCTTGGCTTGCAGCTCATGCCGATCCTTCCAGGTTTGTATTTGTAACCTTGCCTACTTGTTGCTTGCTGTGTATCTTTTGATTTTACCAGCTGTATTAGCTGTGATGCTTAAAGATAGACAATGTATGAACTTAATAAGTTTAAGTATGAGCTAGAGATACCTAGAGTTCGATATAAATGACCGTAGTGTGGATTGCTCTGAAGAGTTTAGAAAATATTTATAACTTAGCTTTAGGTTTACTGAAGCTAGAACACGCTTTGATTCAGATTGCTACAGCGACGTTGATACTGGTTTGCAGATATTGTCTCACGTTGATCTAGGAATAACTAGTTACAAAGTCAGGCTTCTATCAAAAACTAATTAGATGCACTTAGATAGCTTATTTTCCATTGCTTGCAATCTCACATCAAATTCTGTTTCTCAAATTGTTGCTCCTATGACTTTAAAACAGATGTGTTCTTCTGGGGGTGAGCTGTGGTGGAAACATAGCAGACTATGTAGCTCGGAAAGCAGTGGAAGCGGGGAAACTTCTAGAACCAGTGAAAGTTGTTGCCCAGGTCTTAATGTACCCCTTCTTCATTGGAAACAACCCAACACAGTCCGAAATAAAGCTGGCAAATTCTTACTTCTACGATAAGCCTGTCTCTGTTCTCGCCTGGAAACTCTTCTTACCAGAGAAAGAGTTTGACTTTGACCACCCGGCAGCAAACCCACTTGCTCATAACCGTAGTGGACCACCTCTGAAGCTAATGCCTCCAACACTTACAGTAGTAGCTGAGCATGACTGGATGAGAGACAGAGCCATTGCTTATTCGGAAGAGCTTAGAAAGGTAAACGTAGATTCTCCAGTTTTAGAATACAAAGATGCAGTTCATGAGTTTGCAACACTTGATATGCTTCTCAAGACTCCTCAGGCACAGGCCTGCGCAGAAGATATTGCCATTTGGGTCAAGAAATACATTTCGATCCGCGGCCATGAGTTCTCTTACTAAAATTTTATCCTGTTATTATTCATTTTCTACCTTCTTTTTTTGTGTGATAGCAAGATTTTCTTGTAGGGTTAGAGACAATCCAGGATCGAGTCTTTTTGCAAAGTTATCAAATTAATTTTTTTGGGGTTAATTATGTATTCATATGTACGTATTCTGAATAAACCATCTTGGTTCGACCAAATTTTCAAGATTGTTCTCGGTTTGACTCAAGTTCGTTCTTGGTTTGACATCAGCAGCTTGTGGAGCAGATGAGTATCGTTAGAAATTGAAAGATTCGTATACACCTTCATAGTTCATACTTCATATTATTATCTCCATCGCTTGTCTATATCCATTGAATTCATGAATGCTGAAATCTTCAACTTTTTTGTAACTCCATAATGAATGATGAAAATATGGCATATGAATGACTGAAAGGCAGAAAATAATCTGGAAAGGGCTCAATTCGAACCAAGTTTTGGGGATTACAAATCACATTTTAAACAGAGAGACTAGACAAACTAAAAAGAGGTATTACAGGACAAGATGGAAATCATGAAGATGATTACTTAGAAACTTTCTTCTTCCCTGCAATGGCAATTTTCTTGCCTTTAAGAGTCCTGCAATTGTTCTTGGTTCTCTGTCCACGACATGGCAATCCTTGGATGTGCCTCACCCCACGGTAACATTGGATCTCCTTCAACCTCTTGATTGCAAGAGCATTGAACCTCCTCTGCAACACCCACAACACAAATCACAATCCATTCTCTAAAGCCTAAAGAGGAACACATATCAGAATCACCAAAACCACATGAAACCAAACTAAAGCAATTTAACAGCAAGTCTAAGGTCTTAGTCCAATCTCAAGAAGTCATAAAGATACCCATTCTGCAAGTGAGCTAGCTGAGAATGCACTTAAGATAGCATGTACATTACTCTGTCCTTGAGAAAGTGAATGTAAAGGGAAAGTGTATAATACCAGATCACCCTCGATCATATACTTGGAGACTTCATCACGAAGAATGATGAGTTCCTCCTCAGCCATGTCTTTGGTAATCTTGTTCTCCATCTGAAGGTCAACAAGAATCTGACGAGCCCTAGTTCGACCAATCCCATGAATGTACTGAAGAGAGTACTCAATTCTCTTATTACTCGGAATCTCCACACCACCAACACGAGCACATCTGATGCTTAGACTCTGCTTCTGCATTTGAACACAAAAACCAAACCTTTAGACCTGTGACAATTTCCCAAACTAATGGAGTCTTATTAGGTTCAGAAATGTAACACACACACAAGATTTCTACTAACCCCTACACCCAAAAAATCACGAACTAGATTGAATTGAACTACCCATACATGACAATAGAAAAAATATAATAAAAAATAAAAAATAATTTCAATTACATTGGGAGAGTTAGAAGCTGGGAGGGCAAGAGTGTTGCGAGAGAGAGGATTGGATTTGGTCCAACTACAAATGAGTGAGAGCGAGTGCGCTACGGGCATCGCAACCATCTGCGCCATTGTTCTGTTCCCTTCCTACAGAAATCCCAAATTTAAGATTATGGAAACTAATTCAGAGGTGACGAAGAAGATGAAGGAGATGATGAGCCGAACGGATAAGGCAAACGTCGAATCCAAACGCGTCTCTGTTTACAAAAGAATTGGAAAAGCAAATACTTATTGGGCTTTTATGATTTTGTTCAGACAGGCCCGTTATTGTATCGCAAGGCCTGGATTCACACACACTATAATTATTTTATTCGGATCTATTAGAAAACTGATTTATAGATATTTTTTTTTCCTAAAATATCACATTTAATCAGACGACGAAAGGCTGCAATGAGCCTTGGGTCCATGAGAGGACAGAGCCAACTGAGAGACCATTATTGAGTTTTTTTTTCTTCTTCTTCTCTTCTTCTTCGTATGTAAGGTCTGACGATTGAGAGTCATGCATGAATTGATAGAGAGATTGTATAAAAATGGTGCAAGTGCATAGATGCAAAGTCAACGGACGAGAATGAGCCTTTGTTAATTATTGAGATGGTCGTTGACTTCGTTATTGTACGTTGTTATAACTTTTAATGTATTTTAAGTTGTATGCCTTGTATATATATATTCATCTTGCATAGTTTTGTTGTTTTCTTTATATATAGAGTAGTTTGTTTTTTCCTTCATTTTGCATAGATGAATTCATTAGAGTTGTACACATGGTTTTGGGTGCAAGTTACTACAATATAGATTCGAGTATTCGACCTTTTCGGAAGTTTTATTTTTTATCCTGTAAATGAACGAGCCACTATAAAGCCTTTGGTTAGAAGGGTTTAATTCGTTCAAAGGGGGAAAACAGAATTAAAACATTTTAAAGATAAATGTTTTATTATGATATTGGAACATAACATCACAATCTTTGCAGAAACAAAAGAGAAAGAAGGACGACACGAGAGAAATAAATAAACTCAAGAGAGAAACACAATCCGAAGATGAATTGAAACGCATCTCAGAAGAGGAAAGACAAAGCACCGACCAATGCGGTGGCCATGAGTTGAGGGTAGGCCGAGAAAGTGGCAGCACTTGGAGCCGGAGCCATGGGTGGCATTGGAGCCTTAGCTGGAGCCTTAGCAGGACCATGGACATGTCCGTTGTGTGACTCTGCGGTCATGACCATCACGGCCAACACAATGCAGACGAAGGCGAAGCGGATCAAAGAACTTCTTGGTGCCATTTGAATATTCTTCTTCCCCTTCTTCTTCCTTTTTTGGTTTCTTTCTTTGATGTTTGTTTTGTAGGATCTATATATCAACAAAGGGGGTCGAATTTATAGAGCGAGAGAGGTCCTATAAAAAAATGTTTAGTTGTTTAAAAGTCAACGCATGAGAATGAGTCTTGATGTTGAGATGGCCCTTATAAAGTCGTAGTCATTTAATTACATGTTGTTCACTAAGGTTTTTTAAAAAATGGAAAAAGGACAGAAGGATAATGATGATGAATATGTTAGTGGACATCCATTTATATGTTTTGCCGTTCTGGAACAGCTGTTACTTCTTCCGTCACACAAGAGGGATGTTTCTTGACTTAACCACGATTGACCCGGATGATTACAGTAACCAAAATATTGGTGTATGTCATGAGGCCGGTCACGTTTTGGCTCTAGTTGTGGCACAGAATAATAGAATCTTTAGCATTAGTTTAGTATAGTTTTCGTGGCTATGGTGTCCATAGAGCATTTCAACTATACCAACAAGTTTAAGATCAAATATCCGAAAAGAATATTTGTAATCAGTCTTGAAAAACTTGAATGCAAAGGAGTTGAGTAAATTTATTATAGTAACTATATTTCTCTGTTCCTTTAAACAAAATTCTAGAAAACAAATACAGCAAAGTTTGAGAAAACAGTGGAAATATTTGCTAAGAAAGATTACGTAACTAAAGATATTCAACATTATGTAATCCATACTCCATTTGTACTGTTTAAGTTTTAGGCCCAATTAAGCTGGACCTAATATAGGCTGAAAGCGTAAGATTATAATTTTCGTTTGGCCTAAATTTGATGTCATTTGATTTTGATCCCTTGTATATGTACTATTTAGTCTTTATCCCAACATGTATTATTGTTTTTTTTTTTTTTTTTTTTTTTTTGTAAAGGTCCTTCTCATATACATTGTATATTATATGAATACTCTAGATTACATGTTTCCAAAACTTAGTTCAATTCAGTGAACCAACGTAAAATCGAATACTTGGTTAGCTGCAAATATTTTTCTTGAGATGTGCCACACAAGTTAGATACTTAGATATATAGTTGATTAGGACTTAGGAGTAGTTTTTGTTGACTAAGGCAGTAAGAAACACAAAATACCATCGATAATGTATAAGAATTATAGATACGTCGTCGATGATAAATCAAGTCTCTAATTTATGTTAACGTCTAATAATTAGCTTGTTTACCTACTTAACTATGTAGTACATTAATGCAATAATACTCACATAACTAACATTATGATCGCATGACCTTCTTTTATTTATTTATTTATTTTGGGGGGGGGGGGGAATTAAAGAGAGGCATGAAATATTCAATAAGAAAAAAGTAATACATTTGGGGTATATAATTTGATTTATTAACATATATATTTCTATATTTAGGTAGGTAATTAAAGTTTAGACATGAAAGATTAAATATATTCAATAAGCAAAAACTAATACAATTTGGATATATAATTTTGTTTAATCAACAAATTTCTAAGTTTATGTATGTAATTAAAGATTATAAGAGACTAAGACATATAGCCTAATGAAATATTTCAGAATTGATCTAAAATTAGAAAAACAATAAACATATTTGATCCCTATTTGGATATATGCATATACCTTCGAGTACATGAAGAATATTCCTTCATTCATGAATGCGAAACCTCTCCACATTTCGAGTAGTTTAGTGCAAATTGTTTCTCTTATACCTTCATTAACTTAATCCGATACTATGAGTAAACCCTGAAATCTATATTATTAAAGTGATATTTTCTTATTTTACAAAACATATACAGTTGTAAAAAATTGTTCCGACCAGTGTGGAGGGGTTTCGTGTTATTTAATATTTTTTCATATTGGATTTGCACTCATCCTCGTTAACGGTATCATAAGGCTAGTTCAGTTCTTTTGACATTCAACGGACTAGATGATGAGGTTTGTTTATCTAATGAAGAATTATTAAAATATTAAGTCTGACTAGATGAATAAAAATCTGACTTTCTTAATTAAGCAAGTTGTCTGATCATGACGGTGCAGTGCAAAAACTAAATAAATTATGACGTAAAATAACTCGACTCCCATCAAATACAAACATATTTTAGCAATTCGAAAATAATATTTACAAATTAGAATGAATAATGAAAAAGAGAAGATGCCTTTGATGACGGAATAAGCACAATAAGGCTTTGAAGAGGGGACCGATAGATCCAAACAAATCTCAAATCGTTTTATTTTAAAACCAAACTAACTTTATATATATATAAAAACCATTAATCAAATCCTTCAGTAGTTACCAATTAAAGTAACATTTTATAATCATAATACTCCCTAAACTCTTAATATGACAATTAACTTTTGTTAGTTTGTATTTTGTCCGTGGTCCTTGTGGATCATCGTCATATTACAAGAGTTTAGAGACTTTTATATACTTACAGTGTAATTTATTTTGTTATGTTAAAACATAAAAATGAGTGTTTGAATCTTTAAAATGATGTACGTACGCATATTTAGAAAAATTAGCTTGATACCACGGTTACTTATAAATAATTAATTATTCATCGGCCACCACGTATGACAATAATTATGTAATGATCTATATTATGTAAATGAAGAATGGCTTTAAGCCTCTAGTGCAAGCTTTGATAATTATTAATGAATCATAAGCTCAAAAGAAGTTTGTCGACAAGTTCATATTATTGTAAACAAAAAAACCTCACACACTTCTCGCTAAATATTTCTTTAAATGTCTCTGCAATCATTATTAATCGCTGCTTCACTTATTAGTGTGTTTAGCTTTACAATTTGGACTCATTTGTCTTTTAGCCTGTAAGTGACCTGTCAAAAGCAGAGAATCTTTGCTCTTCCCAACTCACACCCTCTTATTTATTTATAAGTAATGCCCCATTACTTGATCCAACGTTCTCTTCTCTTTACATTTTTGCTAACTCAAGCTCTCTCCGTTTGCCTATTAAGTTAGCATTAGCTCTATATGTAGAATACTTGGTCGATGTCATATGTATATTAGCTTGCTTTTCAAAAATTTCATATGGGGAGAAAACCTTGCTGTGAAAAAATTGGATTAAAGAGAGGTCCATGGACTATAGAAGAAGATCATAGACTTATGAACTTCATTCTTAACAATGGCATCCACTGCTGGAGAATTGTCCCCAAACTCGCAGGTACTTCTTTGTTTATACATGCATGCAAAGTTAGGTTTTATTTTCTTTTTTCTTGGCAAGTCTAACGTTATACGTACATATGTACACATGAAGGTTTGTTGAGATGTGGGAAGAGCTGTAGATTGAGATGGATCAATTATTTGAGACCTGATCTCAAGAGAGGTGGTTTTACAGATGCTGAAGAAGATCGAATTATGGAACTTCACTCTCAACTTGGCAACCGGTACGATAATATATGAGTAACTTTTTTTTTCATGTATATTCATTAGCCGGCGTAAAACTTAGAATTTTTCAAAATGAAATCTCTCTCGAATGTAACACGTCCATGCTTGGATTAAATTCAACTTCCGTCAAACTGAATTATTTATTTTATACTAGTTATAAACCGTATTTAAACTAAAACATAAATGATTGTGAGGATGCTTCATGAAAAGAACTGAGTTTACGTATATACTTGTGCATGGAAGTGGTTTAAAACCTCTTTACCAAGAAAAAAAGAGAGACTTTGACGAGTATATATACTGTCTACGGTGTGTTATTTTTGATGATTATTTATCTCTGAGAAAAAAGAAAAAAAAAATTCATATGTGGGATTTTAACTTTCTGTGTCGTAAATAATATATCCTTCATGTCGTAAACTTTTTTTTTTTTTTGTTTAGTTGATGATCGCTTGTAATATAAAATGTTGCTGATATAATCATCATGTTATATGCTAGCTGTTTTATTTATGCTATTTGCATGTTTTCTGGATTCCTTGGACGTCGTAGGTGGTCTAAAATTGCATCTCATTTCTCTGGTCGAACGGATAACGAGATAAAGAACCATTGGAATACGAAGATCAAGAAGAAGATGAAACATCTTGGGTTGGATCCAGCTACGCACAAACCAATGAATAATATCACTCATCAAACCGATCCTAATCATCAGGATACAAAACCAAAAATGTGTTCTAGCATCAATAACGAAGGAGAGGAGATGAAGGACCAAACTCCAAAAGATGATGTCATCAAAGAAACAGCAAAAGCATTAACCGATAACAATGAGGAACTTGTGGAGAAAAACTGGAAAAATCTACGTGCAGAAGAAGTAGACTTGGAATCTCTGTTCGAAACGCAAGGCAACGAGATATCATCCAATTCGTCTATCTCTTCGCTGTATAGTAATATTTCAAGAAATGAATCTTCGTCATATCTTGCAGAAGATTCTATCTCTTTAGAGCAATGGGACTTGGATATGACGGATCCTTTTGTACCATGGGACCTCTTCGCCGCCAATCTTGATCATGATAATCTTTTCTTTTTATGAAAAATGTATTATAAGTTATAACATTGTAAAATATATCCATATATATAATTATTACAAGTAATTCGTTGCTTAGTAATTTCTTGTATGTAAGAAGATGTGGTTTATGCATGGCGTGCGATGGTGTATATTATAATTTGCTCGAATAATATGTGCATATAAATATATTGACTAATTTACCACCATAAATATATGATGACAATATACTCAGTTGAATAATCAATTGTTTTGAAAGTTGTAATGTCAATTATAGTTTTAACTTGTTGACAAAAAAATAAATTATGGTTTTAACTTGTCAAGGATCATTATCATCGTAGTAGTTCGAATAATGTTTCATTGTCATGTTTGAAATTTAACACAGGAACTATATATTGAAATAAATAATTGTAACACATTTAAATAAAATCGAGCACATAGCAAACCCAGTCATATATCCCACACATGTGCGACACGATCAGTTTTGTATTAGTTTATATCGAAAGCTCGTCATATGTCATCAAAGCGTTCTTTATAGTTAGGTGAATTAGGTCAATGCGGCCTTTCATGGGTTAGAAAAGAAAAAACATAGATTAAACAAAACTAGTGAAATTGACAAAACCTTTATCAGAAAAATACTATTCGAAACTCATGAAAATTGACCCGTTTCAAAATTAACAATGAGTTACAAATTAAATGGTACCAACCTATACTTTTACGAGAAATAAAATAACAATTGTACCTACTCTCATTCGAAAGCATGCATTTGATTATATTATTATAAGTTTGTTGTAGAAAAATCAATGAATTAATATCACTTCTACTAAGCGATCTATTAACTATTATTCTTTGTTTTAAGAAGATTTTATTGATCAGACCAAGATAAATTAAGGTACTTAAAACATTTTTGAAGATCATGGTGATCGTAGAGTTGTTGGGATAAAAGACAATGGCGACGAATTTGCTTGCGTTAAGTGTTTGGATTTTTGCAATCATTGAATTAACTTCTATACTTTTCATAATTATATTATTGGCTGTATATTAATTAAGTACCCAAAAATAAAAATGGCCAATCCAAAATATTATAATGTTTTACTCCCCTTAATATACTCATCATAAAAGGAGTAGTTGTATAAATTTGGATCACCGATAAAAAAAACTTTTGAGTGAGGGAAATATAACTTAACTCTTATGTACAAATACTTTTCTTATTTTATAAAAGTTTACCTGCCTGTTAAGAATAAAAATTGTAAGAATTTAAACTTTTTTTTTTGTAAGAAAGAATTTAAACTTTACTTCTCTGTTTTATAATTTTTACATGCACTGCACATATAATCTCAAAAATTATTTAAGCTAACTACATATGTATATTTAGATTATAAAATTGGAAAGCTACACGAAATAAGGCCATGCATGGACCGTAAGAGCGTTAAATTAGTTTGAGCATGGATCGTAGATGCTTCCATTTGAGCAGATGCATGCCCAGAGATAACCAAATCTATCATTAATAAATCATAATCTAAGTGAACACATGATATATGATGAATACTAACCAAAGTGTAAAAGTAAAACCAGTTCTACATCCATATTAAGAAGCTTAGTTTTGATACTAAGCAGCTAGCTAGCCAGCTACTAAGATAACGAGAGGCTAAAGAAGCAGAACCAAACATCCAAGGCAGCCGGTGGAGCAAAGGACGTGGTAGTCTTATCGCGAGATAAGACTTCGACGATCATCTTCCGTTTTTCGCAGTGTCTAGACATTCTCCACTTATAAAAGTAATAAGGAACAGAGCGATCAAACATGAATCGTGTCTTGCCCGTATCCGAGTAGAATCTCGGGTTCGACGAGTTGCACTGCCTATAAACCCTCGTTCCTAACTTGTGTCACCGAGTCTTTCTTGTACTTGAATCCTTGTTAAACCCCCATACACCCAAAAGAAAAAAAAAAACAATAACAAGCCAAAGAAACATATTGTATATTCTCTGTTTTGATTTTCTGCCCATAGAGTGAACAATAGTGGAGTAAATTCTTGACTTGAGGTTTGATCTTATAAAGAACTATAAAGAACTTGAGACGATAGTGGAGAGATATCTGTAGTTAGTGGTTGGTTAAGTATTTTAGTTTTCTCTGTTTGTCACAACCAAACACACGGGAACAGAGGAGGATCAAACTCTCTAAACCAGATTATAGAATAAGTGGTGTTGTATTCAGTTTGGATGTTACAAAAAAAAAAAAAAAAAAAAAAAAAAAAAAAAAAAAAAGAGAAAAGTTTGTATTTTGTACCAGCTCATGCAATTTAAAAATTGTAGATAAGAAGTTTTACAGATTGCCATACCGATTCGCTCATTTGAGCTAATTCTATAGTTATGTTGTTGAAAAAAATAAAAAATAAAATAAAATTTACAGATCCCTGTTTTATGGGCCGAAAGAGTGCTATATAAGAAGGCCTAGCCAGTAGTTTTTTAAATAAGCCCAGACTTTTATATCTTGGGCAAAATTCCAGACGAGAGTTGGAAAACCCTAGGAAACCGTCCTCCTCTATTCCCCAAAACCTATGAGGATTAGGTACAGGAGTTATATTATGTCTACCTGTATATATATATATATATATACGGTTTAGTAAAGTTATCAAACAAGTTCCCAGACCTGCAAACAACAACCTTAATTATTAATTAGAGAAACCAAAGTTTATAATGACATCGATCATGAGCTCATACGAAACAAAGATAATCAAAGGAGTGAATTGTTGGAAAGCGCGGTTGACGTCAACAAGTTCACATGTGTGTACGTATAATAATTATGATGGGCAACCATGTTGGTGGATCAAATTTGTTAAAAGAGAAATATAAAAGTGGGATTCACCATATCTCAAAAACCGTCATCTAGCTAGGACAACATGTTGTTATGTCATATCATCTTGTCCATTAATAATCACATATGTATATATGGTCTGGTTTTATGTTGAATATCACAATTTAGTTGGAGATTAATAATATTTTGTATACTTGTATAATACAGAAGGTGATCAATGGACATGAAAAAAAAAAGACAATTACTAACATATCGAGATTAGATTAACTATGTAAATATAGTGAAAGAAAAAAACATTATACATATATTGGTACCTGAATACAAACAACATTGATTTGATTGCTTAATTTAGAGTTGTGAAAGATTTTGGTTGTACTTCATACTAACAATAAACTAAACGCAAATCAGTTATGGATTTTATTCAGTTCATAATTAATTAGTTTTTACGGTCGAATATGTTTAAATTAATTCCAAGTTGCAGAATGATTAAGATTTGGGCTAGCAGTAGTAGACAGAGTGATATCCCCCAAATAACTCTTACATATATATAATCAGATTTGGCAAATCTTAATTATATATATATACTAGTCAGTTGTCCGCGCTACGCGCGGAAGTTTTATTACTTTGTTTATGAATAAATTATTCATGTTTTATTTCGTACTTATTTTCTCCATTACAACATATTTTTATTTTCTGTCTCATGTTGTGTTTGTATAGAAAATCTATTTTATTATAGTTTCGATAGTAGTTGAGATATTAAATGTCTATAGGTATAAATCGATGTGTAAGTGTAAACAGAAGTGTTATGGAGAGTTGTAGAAAAAATGTGTTATTAATGCTCCACCAAATATAGATCTAGATGATGTTAATATTGTGGGTCCTTTTAAAAGTTTTAATATGTTGGTCCAAAAGTTGAGAATGATTTGTGGATTTCGCGCGGATTGTTGTATTTTTTATTTATTGATTTGGCGATCTGTTGTTTATTATCTATTTATTTTTGTTTGTTATGTTTTTCTTTGTTATTTTTATTTGTTAGTTTTTTTTGTTATATTTGTTATTTGTTTTTGTTATTTAACATACATATTAGTATAATCTATTTTATAGTAATTTAACATATTTTTTTTATTATAATTATTATTTGAAAGGACTTTTCAATTTTTTTTTCAAAAAACTTGTTTACATGTGTATAAATCTTTAACTTAAATGATAAAATAGTACAAATAAATTGTTAAAATTAAATAGTAAAATAATGTGGATGATGCTTGAAAGGACTTTTTATATTTCTTTTTGAAAAACTTGTTTACATGTGTATAAATATTTAGATTAAAAAATAAAATGATATAAATGAATTATTAAAATTAAATAGTAAAATGAAGTGGATGATGATTAGGATGATGAGGTGGTTTAAGGAGAAGAGAATAAAGTTAACTTTATATATATATAGATATAGTTATAATTAAACTGAGTTGTTTAATCTCTATAAGAGATATATTCTCGAAGATTTTATTTTAGAATTCTTTCATATACAGTACAAACTCGCACATTGATATGTTCTTTCTATAATAACCTTGAAAAGTCTATTTTCTTATAATTTGAAAATTTGTCGTTATTTCATATAGGTTTTCATGCATTATTAATTTTCGAAAAATGGTCCTACTCCTTGTCCTACCACATGGCGATCTTTTCACAAGATTCATATTTACTCATCCGAAAGAAACGTAATCACTTTGATTGCCATTAAGCTAGTGTCCCTTTTACTTGATTAGGTCCATGGTTTAATAATTATATCATACTTTTAAAGAAAATTTTACGTATATTACTTTCATGGCGATCTTGTTCGTCAATCTTAACGTACACATGCGCATACTGAACCTCGGAAAGATCACGATATCAAACGAGTTTTCGGAGAATCGACTAAAGCTTATAAATGAGAATAATACATTTTATCATGAGTATTTTACTCTTTACTATACTTAGTCTATAGTTTTTTTTTTTTCGTAACTATAGTCTATACTTAGTCTATAGTTCTATACAGTCATGTATTAAGGGAAATTCAACAGGACACGATGGAATATTCAACTGTGATGTGAATCTGGTCTTTAGGGCATTATTATTGATAGTATTTTAGCAAAATTTAGTTTTGATTAAGATTTGTAAGAAAAAATCCTTATATAAGATACCAACAATAAAGTGGTGTGTGACTTTGCTCATGAACTTATACTGTTATAGTGTGAGAAATGTATCTTCTAGAGATGGATGTAAAATATCTTTTCCTCTCCGTCGATGTCATGTGTTTAAGTTTAACACCATATATATCAATCCCCAAAGGCTTTTTTTTGTATCTTTGCTTCCAAAAGTTTTAAAAGTTAATAGAGTAGTAATGTTCATTTAAGAAAAGAACAAAAAAATTCACCAAAATGAAGTGAGATAAGCTTGAATACAACAAGTAGGTCGGCACGCCGAAATTTTCCATAGACAAAACAAAGCCTACCCATAATGAGTTTTTTTTAGTTAAATAATCACAATAATACCATAGTTTTGATTGTTTTTTTTTGTTCATTTTACGTTTTGTCGTGTTCGGTGGTCCTCCAATCAAGCAAACATTGTTTATCAGGAGTCGAACCATCGCCCATGTGCTCTAAACTCTTCTCTTAACAGTCTCAATCAAATCCTATTTAAATCTGATTTATCCTTTGTCGGCACATTCTAATATCTTATACTATAATAATTGACTCCAAATAGTTTATTTCATAACATAAACAAAAAAGTATTTAAAAGAGGAAGACTTTGTACCTTATAAAAAGCAACTTGCACATGCAAGTATGTATGTGGCTTTGTCCTTATCTTAACCTCTGGTCTCTTATATAAACACCACCTAAACCTTTCCATGTTCTATGTATATCCCAAAGCTTGAGAGATAACAGAAAAGAAGGAAAAAAAAAAACATAGAAAGAAATGATGAAGTTCAAGTCCAAGAGGTTTGGGATTAGATTTGGGTTTGGTAAAAGAAGCAGCAACAAAGGAACACAGCAACAAGATCAACAACAGAAGGGAGTTGTTAACAACAACAATAACATCAATAGTAGCTGCAGCAACTATGAGATCAAATGGGAACTTAGGCCAGGAGGCATGCTTGTTCAGAAAAGACAAGAGAGTATTGGTGAAGACTTGATCTCAATTAGAGTCTCTACTTTTGCTCATTTTCATGATCTCTCCATTGAAGCCACCTCCACTTTTGGTAAATTTTCTTGTCTCTCAGTTTTTCTCAACCTTCATGTTTCGTCTTTTGGGAGACTTATTATATTCAACAACTGGTTTGATATCATCTTCAATTTCATCAAAATTAAAAACGGATTGAAGAGATTATATAATTTGATCACCATTGTAACTAATATGAAAACATCTGAAAATTATGAAATTAAAAGTGTAGTCAGTTTAATGGAAACTTTTTAAAAATATCTCTTTAATTTATCACAGTTTGTTAAAAATAAGATTCTATTTGTGGGTTTACAGGAGAACTAAAGATGGTATTATCATTGCTTACCGGTTTAGAGCCAAGCCAACAAAGGCTGTTATTCAAAGGGAAAGAAAGAGAGGATTATGAATATCTACACATGGTTGGTGTTGGGGACAAAGACAAAGTGTTGTTGTTAGAAGATCCTGCCTTCAAAGAGAAAAAGCTTCTTCATCTCAACAACATTACCACTTCCTGTCACACTATAACCGTATAAACCAACAAAACAAACTTGTCAAAATTAGTTGTTTTGTGAAATACTTACTTTCACTCAAGAAAATTTAACTATTTCTCTTAGGATTGTCAAAGCTTTTTAATAAGCTCACTTTTTTTTTCTTTTTTTTTTTTTAATTAGAGCTCACTCATGTTGTAAACTTGTAATATGCATAAGAAAAGTTAAAAACAACAACTTTGATGCACTCAATTTAATTTATCATTATTAATATCAATTTTATTATTATTCTTATGGATCATTATTGTTCTGATGAAATTAGTTAACTTTTGTAATAAGAGAACTAAAGAGGCTAAACAAAACCGAAATTTTAGCATAACCGAGCTGGTCAAGACCCCTATACAGACCAACGTTATCTTCAAATCTCGGTATACTCCGGTTGAGCCCCTAACCTCTCAAAAAGTTACAAAACAACCATATATTATTATTACCAAATATCCGTCGTAACTTGGCTATTTCAGTAGTAGACTAGTAGTATATGTCCTGTCCACAACCACCAGTAGTATTTTAGTGGTTTACAAATCGTCTCTCTTCACAAACCGGCCCTGAAGAAAGGGTACCAAACTCAAATCAGATAATGTATGTATGTGTGTGTGTGTGTGAATTGTTGCAAAAACAAGAAGAAAAGCTTACTTTGATACGAGGACGTTTCTCAGCGTTGAGTTTACGAACTTGATATCGAATCCGCTTAGAGAAAAGACGGTTTTGTCGTTTCTCTTTATAACGGAGCAAGCTGGCTTCTCTATGCCCTCTCCATAACCTCTCCGTCGTCGTTTCCATCTCCGGAACTGCCCATATACTCCCCGCCTCTCCGCCGTCACCAAACCCCTATAACCCACACACTTGCCTAGTCTCAATATCTTTGATAGAAAACAAAATTTATAATACTACTTTCTTCCTTTTGTTTTACAAGCACATTTGCCAACATTATAACCATACATGATTCCCTAAACATCTGTTTCATGTTTTCACAAGTGTTGCGTTTATCCATCATGCACATCTATTAAAAACTCGACATCTATTAAGCAAGCTATTACGCAATTTAAATAATAAAAAGTTATTAGAAAGCATTTAACAATTTCAAGAGCTTAAAAATTCGAATGGTAAAATCTCAAAATTAATAAATAAAGAATTCAGTGACTAAAAGACTATCATCATTACAGTTACGAAAGAACCCGTGAACTCATTAAAATATTCAACGGTTTTTTTCATAAGTCAAACTAATTAGTCAGTTTAAGCATTGATTATGAAATATATAATACCCAAAGAAGAGATGGGTTTACTTTACTTACATCGGCGGAAGCATGCAAGTCCGGCACCGTCTGCGGCGGTTCTCCGTCAACATAAAGCGTACCTTTATCCGACCAAGCTTCCATGATCTGCTCATAATCAAGCTTCAAAGCCAACGAAGGCCGTCCATCGTTTCCATCGCATCCGCCGCAACACCGTGGAGTTCCGCTACGACTCATCACTTCCTCCACCACCTCTGAGTAACTAACCCACCGCTCCTCCGTCGTCTCCTCCTCCTCACTCGCTCCTTTCCTCATCGCCGTCCTTAGAAGCGAAGAAGAAGACGATCCGTGCTCTTGACGGTCGTACGGAGACAGGTTATTCCTTGCTCCGCCGCAATCTGCATCGGCGGCGGCGGAGGAAGGGAGGAGATCGTGGATCGAAGAGATTGTACTGTCAGTGGCGGAATTGAAGAGGTAAGCCGCAACGGTATCGTATTGGTCATCTTCTTTCTCTCCTCCGAGAGTAGTGGTCTTCTCCTTAGACGGCGTCGTATCAGGGTCTTTCTTAATGCTCTGTTTTTTTTCGTTCTTCTTCTTCTTCTTCTTATGGTTGCTCTTCTTGGTTATGGGATTCTCGTCGATCTCGTGAGAAGTGTTGAGCTCGAGCTTGAGACTGAGAAATTTGGGTTTTTTCGTTTTAGTTCTGATCTTACGAGACGCTTCAAGATTGGAAGGAGACTTGTCCATGGTGCTCGTAGTCGTAGCTTCTCTGTTTTTTCTCTTCCTGATCCTCTTTGATGTTCTTGTACTCTGTTTCTCTTCTCCGACCGGACTGCTTTTACTACACATCTCTCCGATCTCTCTTTTCTTAAACTCTTTTAACTATTCCCTGCTTTGTAATATTTGTTCTCTCTCTCTCTCTAGAAAAACTCACTTCAGACAGAAGAAGTATGTAGGTGGAGCGAGAGGGAAAGCTGACAGTGATGGTACCTTTTGACACGTGTCTCTCAGTCATTGGACAAAGCTATTGTAATCTTGGATTCTGTTTGGATGTGCAGGGGGATAGATATATAGTAAGGCTGGATAGATTGATTACAATTGTCTCTATAATTAAACTTTTGATTAATTTTAAATTAATGGGGGGGAGGGGGGGGGGGGGAAGTGTAACTCAATTCTTATTTTCAACTTATTTTATAAAGCACTCTGGTTTCTAGATACCAGCATTTTTTTTTATCAAAACGTTCACATTTTTATTATATGAAAATTAACCACCAACATTGTAAGTAAGATAAAATAGTGATTAACAGTGAGGTTGACATCAAACAAATGTGATTAACATGATGATTTCTTAGAGGCAACGAAACTAATAAGATTGAGATTTTTCGAGCCAATAATGTAGATGGGAAATATGTCTAAAGTGACATAAATATCTTTCCACTTTAATCCGTGAGGTGAGGAAGATATATCATTTTGCATTATTGATAAACTTATTCCACAGTGTAATCGAGCTCAAGAGGATCATCACACTCAAAAATACTTTTTGAAAACTCGAATCCAATTCATAAATTGACAAAACAAAATAAAAATAAGAAGCCACTTCATTTATTAAAGGGAGAAACTATATACTAAAAGTTTTTGAAGTTGGGTTTGATCGTAAATATGAGATAGCACCGACAGCAATGACAAATGAAGTGGTATATAGTACAGTAGCATCCTGAACTTATTTACTGTCTTTTGATGACACCTTTCGTATAGTTAGATTTTTTTCTATTTTTTGTTGTTGTTGTTGTTGTTGGTGTGTGTGTGTGATATAATATTCACGTGAAACCCAAAAAGAAAAGGTTCTAGTTCTACACTTCTACTATACATTTTTTTTTTTTTTTGGCTTGTACAATTTTACTCTTTTAAAGCTGCAACGTCATTTATTTTCATAAATTTTGATGGATTCTACTTTTGAATTTAAGCCCCTACTGTAGAATATTTTAAATGCATAACGCCATAAAGGGGACAATTTTTATTTTGTTTTTCCATCGAAAAGTGGATTCTATGGTAAGTTGATATAAGTTGATCGACTAGAATATTCTGAAGAATATCACATATTTAAGTTCCCCACTATATAAGTTTTTTCAAAAACAACAAGAAATGGATTGTGTAATTAAGATATGTCTAGAATGAAAAGAGAAGATAGATAGCCATTTGAAAGAAAAAAATCAGATCTTGTTAATAATTGCTAGATTTGACTAAGTATTTTACATGTTAAAGCAAAACCTAGGCAAAATTTTAAAGTTACAAATGAAATGGTACGACTGACGTTGGCAAGAAAAGAAAAGAAATAAAGCAGTGGGAGAGAAGAAGGAAGGACCAATCAGAAGGAACAAATCCATACACGGGATTGGAAATAGAGCCGGGCAGCTCCACTCGAGCTTTTTATCAGAGTACTTATATTTTATATGGGCCCAAATTAAATAATAAAACATTGAGTAGGTCCCAATTGTAAAAGAATCGTTACCTCTAATAGCAATTTAAGAAACCAGTAAGCAACGAGTGGCAGTATGTAATTGGCTGGTGAGAAAATATATATATATATATAAAAAAAGTTAATTATATTTTGTATTAATTTTAGGTACCTCACATGAGATCCTCCACTAAAAATGGTCTTACGGGTACCTAGTCCCCTACCTCCACCTCCATTGACTAATTGTTGTTTTTAATACACTATTTTATGGTTTGCACCAAAAGAATAACATATTATGGGTGATAAAAGAATTTTAACATTATGGTTTATACTACAAGATATTTATATTTCACATCCTCTCAAAAAAAGCCATTACACTAAATTATCCCTAAATTCATTAACTCGATTACCTCAATGTAAATGGATTAGTTTTGGTCAAAATGTTACAATTTATCATTTAACATATCTACACATTCGTTCAAAACATCTTATCAAATAAAACAGAGATATTATCAAGACTGATAATATTTATAATTCACATACAAATAATTAACCAACATTATTAATTCCACAAAATGTAATTTAATTAAATCAAAACATGAACCATTTGTTCTCAACAAAATTTCATAGTGACATTAGGTTTATATTAACTCCAATTAATCTCCATTTATAAACGTGTATAAATTAATTTTGCTGCCTCAACTCAAAAAATTAGACAAATCTCTTATCTATCCAAGTAAAATGTATATAATTTAACTTAGAAAGAAAAGAAAAAAAGACCGACAACGGCGATGGTGCCGGCAACGGAAAGTTTGGCACTTGTCACAGCACCACCAGTGGGTGATTCTGCACTGGGTCCGTCGCTTGGTCCATCAGCCGCAGTGCTATCAGGGGTGGGAGATGGTGGGGAAGAGACGGTAGGTGCCTCAGATTCACTAGGACTGGAAGCACTGTAGTCATCCTCTGGAACTGGTCCTTCGGCAGCAGGGGAAAATGTTTTAGGAGAAGAGGCTGAAGATGATTTGGGTGCGGCTGCCGGAGCCTTGGTTGGAGCTGCAGGAGCCTTAGTTGGGGCGGCTGGAGCTTTGGTTGGTGCAACTGTGGGTGACGGAGATTTTTTTGGGGAGGCTGAAGGAGCGTCAGCTGCAAAAACGGTGACGATGGTTAAAGCCAATAAGGCCAAAACAACAAACTGGCGTGCCATTTTTCTGTTTTTATTATTTTTTTTGGTTGAGATTAAAAGGAGGATATTCCAAAAGCTAAGCAGTATTTTTTATTTTATTTTTATTTTTGTTTTTTTATTTTACCGAGAAATACTGCAAAAGCTTTAGAATGTAGTAAAAACAAGACATCATGAAGTGAATTTATATGTTTTTGTAGATGAGAAAAATTAGGAAAATTGATGGAAATGAGAGAAAAGATGAATCTTATAATCTACTTTTAGAAAGTATATTTTTCAAATAAGGCTAAAATAGACCATTTTACGAGTATATAAAGCATTACTTGAAATAGAAACAGTTCCTATTTTTGAACTTTTTCAAAATACTTTTTTTATAAATACTAATATTAGTAGTAGCTGAGATTGAGAGATTGCCACTTCTGTTTGATTTTATTGCAGAAATTAGAATTAGAGATTCAAACAAAGCCCATATTAGAGCACAGAAGGGATTATATATAATACACAAGATACAACTGACACGAAGTCATTACCAAAGGCCCAAAACATAGAAACTCCTGCATGGTCCTGGGGAAGGGGTTTGGAAGACATTTTTGTTAATGTTCTGACAGAGTTGAAAAGTAAACAACATCTCTTTAATTCTATCTTTTTGTTTGTGTTATTTGCATCTGATATTATTGTCTTCATTGTTTGATGTGCAGTGCAGTATTTTTTTTCTTTTTTTTAAATGTTCGAAGCTTCTTGATGTTTCTCTACTCTAACCAGCAACCAAGGGCTTCATTTGAGTCCCACTCTACTCTAACCAGTAGTAACCAGAGCCTTAATTTGAGTCCCGTTTAAGCTTTAAGATTGAAGCTTCATCACTCAAGAAAAATCACACCCAAATAAACTACAAAACATCTCGTAGTCAAAAATAAAATAAAAAAAGGACATAAACATTAGAATCGAAATCAAGATCAAGATCAAATGTTCTTGTTCTGTAACATCTTATGTACGTGTGGTAGATTTCACCCGGTTTACTCGGACCGAACTCTATCCAATCTATCAACACTCTTCCTTGCTCTCTCAATCTGATGATGATTCTGATGATGATGGTGGTCAACGCTCTTCCTTGCCTTTTCATGGAAGTCTACGCTCCTCCTCGTCCGATCCAAGTGCTGTTCGAAAGTGATTCTCAGCTTACTCTTCTTGGACGGACCTTTTGGCGGTTTCTCTTTCTCCCTTCTATCAACGCTTTGCCTCGGCTTCTCTCTTCTATCTACGCTCTGCCTCGGCATTTCCGAATCGCTGCTGATGTTTTCAGACTGACCCGTGCTTGCCCTTGAGGACAGAGATCTCTCTACGGTGGTGATGAACTTCTTGAGGTGTTTAATGTATTCAGGATAGTGTTCTAGATCACAGTGGTTACCGCCTTCGAGCCAAAGCGGCTCATATTTCTCTTTAGAGAGTTCCCATAGTACTCTTCCATGGGACCAGTCAACAACTTCATCACAAGTTCCCTGCAACAAGAAGAACAGCCAGAGAGTTATATAGACACTCCGAAGCCAGAAAAAGAAAAAAACAGAGAGAAATGAATAAGAAACTCACGTGAATGACGAGAACCGGGCATTTCACAAGTGGGATTTTGTCTATATTCTGCAAAGATACATGAGTTTCCAACAGTGAAGTAGATAGAACAATGCTTAAAGATCAAAATGCTCCATCAAAGAATGATATATACATTACCTTGTAAATGTCAAACCAGTAAGTCTTCTTCACTTGATACATTACTCTAACACCTGAAAGAATGGGGCTATGGAGAACCACAGCTCTTAGTTGAGGCAATCGAGCAGCGAGATCTACCGTAGGTCCACTTCCCACGGACTGGCCATAAAGGATGATGTCTTCCTGTTTAGCTCCATAGGTTTCTTCAAGACATTTATAGACAGCTTCAATATCAGCATATGTATGGTGCTCACTCGGCTGCACTCACAAGAAAACAAGGTCCAGTTATATTTATATTTTACTAAAATTGTTAAAAGAATATATGTTTCCTTGTTGATTCTAAAGAGCAAACCTTTCCAGTAGATTGTCCATAGCCGGAGTAATCGTACCTGCAAATACCAAAGCAGAGAGGAAGCACCCTTAATAGAGCTGAATCAAGCTATGAAGCATCAAGGGTTTTGCAATGTTCATAAGCCTTTAAATGTCTCATAACCCCGAAAGAACAATCAAACAGTGAATCAGAAGAAACCAAAAAGGATTATGAATTCTCCAAATTGAAACATTAAGCCAGGTAAAGAAAATATCCAAAACCTTCTATTAAAGACACCATTAATACCAAAACCCACAACATGGGACCAGATAGAAAATTCCTAATAGCCATTAAAAAAAAAGTCTATGAATTTGATCATATCCAGATACAGACATCACAAAAACAGAACAAGATTTCAGACAAGAGGAGCTTCACCATCATCAGAGCTATATGGAGATTAGAAAGAGAAAAAAAAAAGAAAAAAAGCAAAAAAGAGTGAAAACTGAACATACCCCATGAGATTAACCTTAAGATGGATGCTCAATTCGATGAAGAGCTCATACATCTGTCCCAGATCGGCGGCGTTTCCATGGGAATAAAGCAGAGTAGAGGTAGCCATGGGGTGTCTGACGTACATAGCCACGATCTCTGTTCCTCTGCGTGTCGGAAGCTTAAGGATTTCGATGTTTTCACGGTGAGGGAATGTGTTCATCAGAAGAAGTCCGGTCAGTTCGTCATAGACCAGCTTGTAAGACGACGGACTCGGCGGGAAAAAAGCAAACTTCGCCGCAACTGATGACGTCACCCCTCCCATCTCTCTGTCTCTCTCTCTCTCTCGCTCGCTCACTCTCTCAGAACATTTGTGTAGCTGCTGAAAGATTTGAGATTGAAGCTTTTTTTTTGTTTTCTTTTCTCGGGAACGGAGAGAGAGAGAAAGAGAAAGAGAGGATTTAGGAAGAAAAAGTGGCACTTGAAATGGTAAAGGAAGAGAACGAACCAAAGATACTGTTTATTAAAGTTTGCAACTTTAGCTTCTTATTTTAAATGCTAATAATCTCGCTAATTCTAAGTACAGCAAAAAAAAACCCGATGATGATTACTTCCACTGTAAATTTTTGTTTTTCTCCAATCGGAACAATCAAGAGTTCCAAATAACATGGAATTGAATAGTTTATGGTGATATATATAGTAATTAGCATTGACATATTTAGCTAACACCCCCTCATAATATTCAGTATCTTAATCTAAATCCAAAGCATAAAAGAAATATATTAATAACAGAAATTTGCTAGAATAATATCGAAATTTACTCAAACTGAAAACGATAAAATCTTACGGGTTTCATTTTCATAGATAAATTTTAATGGTTAACTACGTATATCTACTTCATAACAAAAAAAAAAAAAAAAAAAAAAAAAAACTAGATATACTTATTTGTTCTCCAAAGTCATTTTTAATAAAGAGCATAAGAGATAGAAGATGTAACTCAGGTTAAGTCAAATAGATAGTTTTAATAATGTTACTTTGGGAGCTAGATAAAAAGGTGGGGTTTTAGAGTAATAATGTTAAGCTTTGGTGGAGTGATAAATCATAGGGTATGATTAAACGAACATGCGTATTTTATAGTTTGGAATGGCGGCCAAATATAAGAGTTAAACATGAAAGGCACAAATGACTTGTTGTATAATTGAATTTGGACAAGGAATAAATATCAACAACTAACGATAAAATATATATATAAGATGACAAAACAATGAATACTATTATTAATAAGCAAAAGACTATATTATAATTCTTTCTTTAAAAAAAAAAAGAAAAAGAAATGGGTATGTTGGTTTTGGTTCATGTTCAAATGTTCATGTTCATGGGGGTCCATGACAAAATGTAACAAGGGGAAAGCAAATATTGACGTGGTGGGTCTTCACTCACCCCTTTGTTTATTTTAATCTTATTTCTGATAGCTACTTCTTTATTTCCTTTAATTTGTTGTTGGAGCAGCAAGCAAAGAAAAAAATAAAATAAAAAGAGTTATTAGAACAAACTTTTTTTTCATTAACAATCGGAAAAAGACGACTGAGCATGTCCGTCCGTCCACAAAGGCATACACATATGCCCAAGTCTCCCTTCCATACGAGTCGACACCGACGACGCTTTTAATTAAGCCTCTGTAAAAACAATATTTTCATTATTCGAAACATATATCTCTATTATGTCTCTATTATAGGAAAAGAGAAGTACAAAAATATAAATGGGTCGAATCAATTAAAAAAATTTAACCCATAAACTTTAATTGAATACTAAAAAAAATGGATTATCCGGTGATATTGGATATATCCAGCGATTTATTACAATCATTAATGTTTTTACAAATTAAATATCTTTGCATATATGGAGGTTTATTTATACAAAATTTTCTCACTCAAAATATCCCTAGAAAAACGTGTTTAAGAACAAATATTACGAACATTTAAATAGTTTCCATAACAACCTTCAACTATATCCTAACTTATTGTAGGGGATTTCCTAATCAAATATTACGATTATCAATAGCAAACTTGACATCTGACTTAATAACATAAATATTACAATAATCAAATATTTAGATTTGATATGATTTACTTAATCTTTTCATCAAAAAACAATTTCATTTTTACCTTTTGACTTAATAACAATAATATTACATTGCATTTGTTATTTTATATAGATATAAAATCTATATGATATAATATATTTGTTAATTTTCTTTAATCACACACTACTTTTTGATATAACTTTTATCAAAAACTGATAAAACAACTAACTGCAACACCAACAATCAACTAATATTTTTGTTGAGGGGGACCTTATTATTTAACGTGGCAACAAGTGAACCTTATTTATTTTTCATTTTTTTGGACTCGGTGACAAGCGAAGATTATAAAACTAAACAGCCTTAAGCTTTTCAACTGATTAAAATTGTCAAATTCGTCACATCATTTGAACTAAATCAGTCATATATTATATATGTAATGTAAGAATGTGAATTTATTCTTTCGGCAAATTCGTGAGAATGTGTAAAATATATACCAACAAACTTATTGCATGAGGTCCCAAATTGCATGCACGTGCGTCAATCGATCATCATTTAGTTTCTTACGTTCCTCTTTTTTTACTTTTTTTTTTTTTCTTCTTTCCCTTTCTCCATTCTCAATTATGCTGTCTGATGGACTTAATTGTACAGACGACACATTTTTCTGGTTTCCTATATTTACAAAAGTGTACTTCATGTTTTGTTTCTATCACTCTGTTAATTTACTAGGTAACCATCCGGAAAAAAGTAGAATTTCCTATTATAAAGTAAAAAGATATCCCCTATATATTAAGTTTGAACTCAGTAAATATATGAGAAGCACATAACATAACATAATCAAAGGGCATAATTATGAAGATTACATAGAATCCTATAATTAATGTATATTAGAGCAATATATCACATAATTAATTTCATTAATATTTAATGGTGCCACAAGTCAACAAAAGTTTTTAATAAATTCCATATTGCCATATCATTGCATTCCAATTGTGTAGTCTGATAAATTTGAAAATTATGTGAATCTATAGATATTTGTTTCCTTGGATACAATTTACTTTCTTTCTGTCAACATTCAACACTATAAACTATTGATTTTCTCAAAGTCTGAACAAAAAAAAAAGGATTTAATTGATCTATTTTAATTTTTAGTGCAATAGACCTACTACATATACAATTTCTTTGCTTATTTGTGTGTGTGTGTTTATAAATATGTGTAGACCAAGAAGAAAACATTATAACTAAGAGATACACAATTATCAAAAGAGGATCTTCGTCTCTAATTCGGAAGACAATGCTGGTCTTATCTATCTTCTTTTCATTGGGATTTCTCTTTGTCTCTATTCTGATTCATTACATATCATCAAAATTTAAGGAAAATGATACAAAAGATCACTATTCTTCGCTACATGGTAGCATGGGATGGCCTTTCATTGGGGAAACTCTTTCTTTCTTCAAACCTCATAGATCAGACTCCATTGGGACATTCTTGCAAAAACATGTTTCACGGTACGTAATATATATCTACCTAAACTGAAGATGATCATTTTTAAAAAAAAATATAATTGTGAATGTTTTTTTCTTTTTTTTTTTGTGATGAAGGTATGGAAAAGTGTTCAAGTCAAATTTATGTGGGGGAAAAGCCATAGTATCATGTGACCAAGAACTCAACATGTTCGTACTTCAAAACGAAGGCAAGTTATTTGCAGCGGATTATCCAAAAGCGATGCATGACATTCTCGGCGAGTGCTCCCTCCTATCAGCCACTGGAGATTTTCACAGGAAGCTTAAAAATGTGATTATCAGCTTCATCAATCTCACAAAGTCGAAACCCGAGTTTCTTCACTGCGCAGAGAACATCTCTATCTCGATGATAGGTTCATGGAAAAGTCGCGGAGTAGTCGAATTCCATAAAGAAGTTAAAATGGTAATTTACTGATCATCAACGAAGTGAATCCTTATCAACCTAGTTATAATACATCTTGTTCTAGTTTTGATATTTTGTTGGTTGTGGTTGAATCATACAGTTTACTATAAGTGTTATGGTAAACCAACTCTTGAGCATCAGGCCAGATGACCCAGCAAGGCTCTATGTATTGCAAGATTTTTTATCTTATATGAAAGGATTTATCTCGTTACCAATACCTCTTCCAGGAACGGCTTATACAAACGCTATTAAGGTTATATCCAATCACGATACATTGAAGAAATTTATAATTTTTCTTCTGATATATTTAAGAAGATACTAGTAGCCATTTTATAATAAAAGAAACACTTAAATTCTAGGATTTTGCATAAATTTTTTATATGCCTGCAGGCTAGGAAGAGATTGTCGGCGAGGGTTATGAGGATGATAAAAGAAAGAGAGCGTGAAGAAGAAGAAGAGATGAAGAAGGGGATAAGAGAAGAAGATTTTCTAGATGTGATAATTTCAAATGAAGATATAAACTACGATGAGAAAGTGGGCATTGTGTTGGACATTTTGCTTGGAGGCTTTGAAACAAGTGCTACTCTTCTTTCCTTAGTCGTCTATTTCCTTGCTAAATCTCCAAGTCTTCTTCACCAACTCAAAGTATTATTCTCACTCTCGGCTTCCTTTTCAATATATTTTTGTGCATGTACGGAGAAACATATATATATTACTACATATATATATATATATATGATCTTTATATACGTGAAAATGTTACAGGAAGAACATGAAGCCATTAGAGCCAAGAAAGGAGATGGAGAACTTTTGAATTTGGAAGATTATCAGAAGATGGAATTCACACAATGTGTATGCATGGTTCATAAAACGATCATTTTACATTCGAATCTATTTTCTTAGACGTACATATATAATTGGGTTCGAATTTGTAGGTGATATTGGAGGCGCTACGATGTGGAAATATCGTCAAGATGTTACATAGAAAAGCCACTCACAGTATCAAATTCAAAGGTTAGTTTTGATTCATATCGTCATTCTTTGAATATTTGTAATATCTAATTAAAGTCTAAACTTAAATGAAATATTGTTTTCTTTTAATATGCTTGATATTGCAGAATATGTGATTCCAAAGGGATGGAAGGTGTTTCCTATACTCACAGCAGTACATCTTGATCCATCTCTTCATGAAAACCCTTTTGAATTTAATCCCATGAGATGGACCGTAAGTAAATTATTCAAATTATATGATAAGCAAGGAAAGTGAAATGTAGAGCTAATTAATTAATTTGTTTTGTTTTTAAATGAAATAATTATAATTAGGATAAGGCGAAGACGAACAAGAAAACGATGGCGTTTGGAGGAGGAGTAAGGGCATGTCCTGGTGGTGAACTTGGCAAACTCCAAGTTATTTTATTCCTTCATCATCTTGTCCTCTCTTATAGGTTTAAGTCTGATCCCTTTTAATCACTCTCTTTTGTTGACTAGTTAATTGATGGACTCTGCATTAGTTATCCGACTTATTTAATCACATTTTAACCTTTGGGTTTAGACTTTAACTGTTAGTTTGATTTTTCTTTTAAAAACGTTTTCTTAATGTTTTCAGTTGATTATTCTACTGATACGAAAATCTGCTTGGAAAGATGTGTGTGTGTGTGTGTTTATCGTGGAATTAAAGTTGGGGATTGATGTTAATAATGTTGAATGTATACATTATACGAATTGGTTTAACCAGTCTGTTTGACTATATGTTTTATAAATGGTAGGTGGAAAATAAAGTCTGATGAAATGCCAATAGCGCATCCTTACGTGGAGTTTAAGAGAGGCATGCTTTTGGAGATCGAGCCAACAACAAGTTAAATCCAAATCATTCTTATAGAAGAATATTATTAATTAGTTGCTTTAATATAAGTAAGGATATCCAATACTATGAAATGTTTATTTAAACTTTAAATAACTCCAATGTCCATTACCATCTCTCTAGTCATAGAGTTATATGTGTTGGGGTTTTGATATAAAATAAGTATTTTGCATTTGGATATGGTTTTCTAAGTATTTTGTTTGTCACGTTAATCGTCTTTGCTCAACATTTTACTTAAACTGTGAACATGTCAAATCTAACACGATACCTTCCTATATATATATGTAGGTATAAAACATTCAATCCTATCAATTGTATGATCCGGATCAAGACTCTAGAGTTAAAACAAGTGTGAATTTTAAGTACTAACCATTATATCGTATTTTTTATTTCCTTTGCAAAGAAATTACAAATCAGACACATAGCCACATATGTAACTAGAAAGAGAAAAAAAAACCCACAGAAACTATACTAGTTGATGTATTTTCATCTGGCTTTACATAAGAACTCTAGGAAAAGATAATTTAGAGGGCAAGTTACCATTTTGGCCTTGAAAAGATTTGTCGAAAACATACTTAGCGTTAAGAGAAGAAGGATTAACTTGCATGAAGAGGTAATTACCAGCAAAGAGATCACCAAAGTGTGATTGACTCTCCTTCAACCTCTTTAGTATCTTCAAGATTCCAAGCTTAACCCTACTCGCTTTCTTCCTCACAAATCCCCTTAGTCTCCGGATTTTTACTCTTACCCTAATCCTCCTTCTTCCTCCCAACGACACCACTCTCCTGAACCTGCATGCATATATATAAATTACAAAGTCTCGTTTAGAAAAGATACTTCATGATGATATAAAAAAAGCTGTTGTAATGAAAATGATTTTTGTGTAGAGATAAAAATCAAAACCTGTAAGAATATAGTGACGATCTTCTTGTTGTTTGGCCGAAGACATCATCTTCTAGAGAAAGCCTCTTGTAAGGTATATTGGTGATTTTAGGAGAGGAAGCCATGGGAAAATAATGGATTAGAATAAAATGATTTTTGAGTTATTTTTTTTTTTGTTCAAGAGATTTCTTTGAGAATTGTATATCATCATCATCATCAATGAATCGATATGAGTTGTCATTATAGTTGATGTTTCAATGTGTATGGTTGGTGGGTCGATTTAATTTGAAGTAGTTAGGTGCGTGTACGTGAATTTAATGCGATCCCTCAAATTTTTAATTGAGCAAAGCTTTATATATACCCTTAAAATTCAAGTTATGCCCTGCAATAAATGGTTTTATAGTGTTAAGAAAGTAATGTAATGTGTGAGCAGTGAGAAGATATATAGTTGTTCATTGAAACAAATAGAATATAGGCACTTGACGAATTTGGTACCGTCATCCTATAGATGTGATATAATCTACCATATAATGTATGTCTGAAATAGTATTGTCTAAAAAGCCATTTACATTAAGAGGGTAAGTTGGATTTGCATGTAAGTCCCATATTATTCTTCTTTGTTACTGAAGTATGACAAGCGTACGAGGTTGGTTCAGTTGGTTGGTTTGATAATTGATTGATTATATACTATATAGCTAGCACAGCATGTGATTCGTTGTATCAGCTAACACGGAGGTTCATTATATGAAAGAAAAAAGTTAGGTGTTAGTGTCTGTCTATTACACCCACATCTCTTATGATTTCCGGAATTTTCAAATAACCAATAAAAGAATAAAAAATAGAGAAGGCATGGACACATGAATAACAACATTTTTTACTCCAACCAAAGAAAGTCAAAGATTTTGAGACAAGATCAAGTTAGGAATGTGAATCAACGGACAAACATTTTTTTTTTTTACACAAAGATTCCGATCTTTCTCGGAGAAATTTCAGTGATTAGACCAAACTAGATTCCCAAAAGCATTCGTAATAAGATGAACAAGAGAGAAGGGTCGTCGCTATTGGTCTACTTGTTTAGTAGAGCTTTATTCTTGTCTGGATTGGTGCACGGCAAATCGGACACATTTGAAGATCTGGTCCACACTCGCAACAAGTCTTGTTTCAAAACAGAAACGATATTAGTTTTAAACGATGAGTAGAGGAAGATGGAGAGTGTGTTTGTTGGATTTACCTGATGGCCACAACCAAAGGCCATGTCTTTCGGGTTGCTCAGACAAATCGGACATAGCTGTTCAAAAGTTCAGTAACATGAAGTTTCAAACAACATTTTCAGACTGATTTCAAAATATCTTTCAGATTATAGAGTACCTGGTTATCCGAGGCAGAATTTGTAGCGGTTGGGGCGGGACTAGACCTTACTTGATAGCTTTCAGTTGGATGAGGAGGAACACTCGGTTTGAAACTTGGAGGACGATAAGCCTTTGGACTGTTGTAGGACGATGATCCCCCATGCATTGGAGGCGGAAGAGGAAATCTTTCTGGGATATTCCCATTTCTTCTTCTGCAGAAAAGGTTGAAAGGCAAGAAAAAGTTGAGATCTTTGGGGTAAAAATTGAAGCCAACTTGATAAAAGATTATGTTTGGGCATTTACCCTAAAAGGTTAAGTTCTAGTGTCGCCTTGTATTGTTGAGGAATCTCCATGAGAGCAGAAAGGGCAAACTCTGTTTCCTTCAAGGACTGAGCTTTGTTCTTTGACATGATCTCTGTGAAGTTCACGAACTAGAAACAGAAAGTCAGCTCAAAACACCAAAGTTTGATGTCATTTTCTAAAAAGAAACTTACTTGGAAGTTATCAAAGGCTCGGGATGGGATATTATCGTCAAATTCCCTCATCATGTCCCAAGGTCCATCCCCGACCCCGACTAAGACGATTGACAGAGGAAGCTTACTATCATCAAAAGAAAAAAAACAATATCATAAAAACCAGCCACAAAAGAGATATAATTTCAGTGGAGAAACCAACTTCAAAAAATTGGACAATAGTCCAACCTTGCTTGCACAATCGCATCTACTGTCTTCTGTTCTTGCGGACTTAACTGTCCATTTTCAGTGTCAACACTTCTTGTAACCTGAAACGGTATAATGAGGTTTCTTCTCTTGACACAAAAACAATGGTTCATACTGGAATTTATTTGTACCTGCCCATCAGCTATTATCACTAGGACGTGATATTGCCCACCACTCTGCTCAACAATGGTCATGGCCATGTCGATGATCGGAGCAAATGAGGTTGGCCCTGAGAAGTATTCAACAATACGTTAATACCTAAGCTAGATATTCATGATAATGCGGCCAATTAAGGGAAAGAAACAAACCTGCGAGTTTAAGTTGAGGCACGATCTCTTTATACCGAGCAAGGACTTCCTCAAATCCATTACAGAATCTATCCTCTGAATTGAAACTGAACACGTCTTGGTCATGTGTTGATGCATCTCCAAAACCATAACAAGGAATCAAGTTGTCCTCGTCAAAGGCGGCTAAGGTTCTTCCTATGATAGTAATCGCTTGTTCGTAAGGATTGGGACTACTGCCTATGAAGTGTAAGCTTTTCCTATTGAAGGACCTGGCCCCTATTATCAAATAACATCAAAGTGCTTTTGAGTCTGAAATCATTCGATGCATTACACCAAAGACAGGATCTTGAATCTCACTAACCTGTCCATTCGTTGCTCTTGGTGAAATCCATACCAACGATGAGATTTGAAGATTCTAGACCCGCACGTGCAAGAGCCTCCGTCACCTAGATGAAACAGAACATAAATGTGAAGCTTTTTCTGTCGAACCCATCAGAATCTACAGCTACCAAGTTTTAACATCAACAAAAAAAACACACTAGTTATCGCTAGAAACTAAGTAGAGACTCAGCTCACCTGCTCCAAAGAAGAGTAATCATCAGAAATTCTAGAGTACTTGCGCTCCAACCTCTTCTTATTATCACTACCATAACTTTGAGAAGGCGGTGCAGAATAAGGCTGAGTATTATATAAAGGTGAAGGAGGTTGCGTATACTCAGGAGGTGATGGAGCATATGAAGGTTGAGGAGGATAGTTATAGCTGTCTGCACCATACTGAGGATAGCTTTGTTGAGAAGCCCATGAAGATGAAGAGGGTGATGCTGATGCTGATGAAGCTGAAGCTGACCTAAACGATGACTGTCTCCAGTTTTCTTTAGAATTCCCTGTCCCCATCAAACTTAAGAAAAAAAAAAAAAGCTAAAACCTTTCTGATTCAAAATCAAAACCCTCTCAAGGTCAATTCAAGTATGTACCTGCAAACAAAAAAAGATATGGCATTTAAGATACATTCATGAAACCCAGAAACAAAAAATAAAAAATGCAGAAACATATGTTAAAATCGTGACACAAGCTCGCTGGAAAGATGCAATTACAATTTACCTAATCCGTCAAAAAGGGTGATAGCGTTATCTTTGACAGATGTTGAATTATCTCACCGCTTACGAAATGACTTTTTTTAATTTCTGTAGGTTGGTAGTGGTCTTTATAGAAAAGAAAAGAGAGATTCAATCACGTCACGTAATTTTCCTCGAAGGCGATTTTAGTGACTTCTAGATTAAGATTTAAAAGTCACAATTTACGATTTAACCTACTGCAACACTCAATCCCAGAATTAGTTAAAATACTAACTAGTTCCTAACAAATCTAATGAGCTTTCGATTTCAAATTTCCCGAATAGAAACGAAACATTCTCTGATTCATCAAACGAAAGCGTAACCCGAAATCGAAAACATAAATTTCGAGACTGAATCTCCCGACATTCACCAGAAAAATGTTCTACCTTTGAAACTTACTTAAGAGAATGGCGAATCAGAGAAGTGTTTGAGAGAGTGAAGGAGGGCTTCTTCAATGGCGGATCGAATATGCTACAGAGTTGGCCTTTAAAGTTGTGTTCCCCCTTTTGTTAGAAAGCAATTTCACTTTTCTTCTGTTGTTGTTGTTTGGTTTGCTTCTATCAAATCATTACGAGAGAGGAGAGACTAATCACTTTGTTTTTTAAAAAGATAAAAAAAAAGTGTTTAGCACGCTAATGGTGGAAACTTCTTCTAATTTCACCCCACTTGTTATTCTCTCTTCCAACAATTGACCCTATCAAATTATTATTGATATCCAAAAGTCATAAATTGGAATCAATTGACAATTTCTTTGAAATTCTTAAATTGACATTTTCTTAAATTTATAAATAGTCAATACATAAAACTAAATTATATTTATAAATCTCTAGATAGATAGATAATGTACTTTTTTTTTCTTTTCAAAGTTTTAATCTAGAGAATTGCATTAGTAATTTCCCCATTTATACTCATTTAATTTGTAACTTTGTATGTAGAGTGTAACTTCTATATATTAATATAATTTACTCGGGTTTAATTAATTTATAAATAATAAAATATTATATTATTAATTGAATAATTTCTAAATTTTTTAATTAGGAAAATTCTCAATTGAAAGTTTAACAAGTGATTATATCATATAAAAAAGACAGCCAAACACAAAATTCTTCTTTTGTATGATTTGGGCAAATAACTAATAGTAGTATGATGCATAATGCAATAAAATAATTTCCTTGGGGGAAAAATGGATGGTTATGAGAAGTTTCCTCTCCCACGTGCCAATCCTATCTTCAATATTTTTTCCTTAGTCGTGCTGTTAAAAAGAAAAAATGTCAATGTTCCTTTTAACTTACATGCTTTTTCCTTTTTCGTTATAAACTCTATAGGTACTGTTGAATATTCCTTTTAGAATTAAAAAAATATTGATTTTTTTCTGACTTTTTAATTTCATCCATTCGTCTCTTTGTTTTTGTTCTCGGGTCAGAGCTGTTAAATCATGCATTCGTGCTTATAATTTGATTAACTAAGTTGCCCTAATTTTTAGTATATCAGTTTTGCTTCCTTTGGTGAGCAGACACAACACGTGAAACTTAAATGGACTTACGTTAAAGTATAAAAACTTCGTACCCGTGATTTATGCAACTCTCTTTTTTTCTTGTTTTATTGGACCGTTCCTTCAAGGAGCAAACAAGAGAAGTACGTGGACTGCACTTTCAAACCAAAATATAATTATAACATTTTCGAATCTAGTGGAGTAGTACACTAGATTAACAAATTAATGTTTTTTTTTTTTAATAGGCATTATATAAGTGTAAAGATCGTTACTAATGATACGACACTAACACAAACCACTTAGCTATATCAAGGTTGAATACAAATGTGCTTATGTAAAGCAGATTTACTTAACCTAGTAAGTAGTAACTAATACGGTTCTCTTTGTTATTCTATTTAACTGAAACTTGAAAGTACGTGAAAATATATAAATGTGACAAGATTACGTTACAAACTCCAAGATGGGGGAAAAGTATATATGTTGTATGTATATAATAAAAGCCCAATACACGACAAAAGATATAAAGCCTGCGTTTGGCACATGGAGGCTCGATATAAGCCCATTAAGTTTTATCCGCGTCTTTTAGTGAAGAACATAGAAACATTCGTAGTCCTTGTCACATGGGATCGCGTCTCCCGGAAAATATTCCCTAGCAAATAAAATTCGACACTGGTCATATTCGTCGTCGCGGGAATCTACTGTCGCTCACACTATCCACTCTTCCACCGGCAGCTAGATTTCCGGGTCCTCAGTCTCGGGTCAGATCTAGATCCGGATCCGGAGACTCTTAGTATGAAGCACTTCAGAACCGAGCGAGTCCGTGCGACTCCGAAGCTCTTCACCTACGTTCTCGTCGGCTTCATTGCTCTACTCGGCTTGACTTGCCTCTACTATGGCTCTTCCTTCGCTCCCGGATCCAGAAAGTCCGATGAGTTCGATGGATCTGATAACCGCGCTCGCACCGGATCCATGAGGAGTCGAGCTGGTGTGGTTGCCGTGAGCCATGTCGAAGTTCCTAAAAGCGTTCCGGTTCGTGATTCGAGCTCTATTCGTGTTCTTTGATACAAAAATTGAATAGTGATTTCTAGATTCGTGTTTTGTGCTGATTAACTCGTTTCTTTTCGTATTTACTCTGTCGATATTGTTGATTTACGTAGTGGAGGAGTGATCATTGTTGATTTTGTGAGTTTAGTTTGAATTAAGGTTTCTCTTGTAGTAGCTCTGCTCATTACTCTCTTGTTTTTATCATTAAACCACAGATATGTGATTCGAGACACTCGGAGCTTATACCGTGTTTAGATAGAAATCTTCATTACCAGTTGAAATTGAAACTCAATTTAACATTAATGGAGCACTATGAGCACCATTGCCCTCCACCAGAACGGCGTTTCAATTGCCTTGTTCCGCCTCCTACGGGTTATAAGGTATCTTGGACTTCTGTCTCTTTCTCTTGTACTACAGAATTTGAGCATTCTTGTATCTGTGTTATGGCTCTGGTTTTGGTGGTTGATGATGCGGATGTTGTTTATGGATTTTTCAGATCCCGTTAAGGTGGCCTGTCAGTAGAGACGAGGTGTGGAAGGCGAATATCCCGCATACTCACCTTGCGCAAGAGAAATCTGATCAGAATTGGATGGTTGTTAATGGGGATAAGATCAATTTTCCTGGTGGAGGGACACATTTCCACAATGGAGCTGACAAATACATAGTTTCTCTTGCTCAGGTACAGTGATCATCGTTTATGTACTTCTTCGCTTTATTGAATCCTAAGCGTAGGGCCTATCCTTTAAAACCACTGCGCCTCTTTCGCTTTATTTGTTGTCACCAATATTACTTTAGCCAGTGAACGTTTATGGGTAAAAGGGTGTATCACTATGCAGTTGAAACCATTTGACCAAAAGATGTATGGGAGTGTCTAGATTTACCAATTAACAGGAGGTTTTTTTGGCTCTTCTTTTCTTTTCTTTTCTCAAGTTCTTTCAGATGACCAAAAAAATCTGATTCTTGCTTTAGATGCTGAAATTCCCTGGCGACAAACTCAACAATGCGGGAAGCATTAGGAATGTTCTTGATGTTGGTTGTGGGGTAGCTAGCTTTGGAGCTTATCTTCTGTCACATGACATCATAGCTATGTCCCTTGCTCCTAATGATGTTCACCAGAACCAGATCCAGTTTGCTCTAGAAAGAGGGATTCCATCAACACTTGGTGTTCTTGGGACTAAGCGGCTTCCATACCCAAGCAGATCATTTGAACTTGCACACTGCTCTAGATGTCGGATAGATTGGCTTCAAAGAGATGGGATCTTGTTACTGGAACTTGATAGGTTGCTCAGACCTGGTGGCTACTTTGTATACTCATCGCCTGAAGCTTATGCGCACGACTCAGAAAATAGAAAGATTGGGAATGCGATGCATGATCTCTTCAGGAGAATGTGTTGGAAGGTCGTGGCTAAAAGAGACCAATCTGTTATATGGGGAAAACCGATATCCAACAGCTGTTACTTGAAAAGGGAACCGGGTGTCCAGCCTCCGCTTTGTCCTTCTGGTGATGACCCAGATGCAACTTGGAACGTCTCAATGAAGGCTTGCATATCACCTTACTCAGTGAGTAAGTATATGCCTCTTTCACTAACTTATTTATTTAGGAATGTTATCCAAAAACTATATAGTATATACTGTGTATGAAAAATGAACACTAATACTTGTACATAGTCTTAGTATTAAGGATCATTAAGGTTGTTATCCATTTCATATTTGTTATATTTACCCAGGGATGCATAAAGAAAGATGGAGTGGACTCGTTCCCTGGCCACGGAGGCTTACAGCTCCTCCACCACGTCTTGAAGAAGTTGGTGTCACTCCCGAGAAATTCCGTGAAGATACGGTAATTCTTCACTCCCTACATCGAATGCTCTCTGTAGTAATCCAGATCCTGAGAACTTCGATCGCTATGCCTGTCTATGTCCAAACACTTCTTTATTGCTCACTAAAGTGGGTGCGAGTGTAGGAAACATGGCGTCTCAGAGTGATAGAATACTGGAAACTGTTGAAACCAATGGTGCAAAAGAACTCCATAAGAAACGTGATGGACATGAGCTCAAACCTTGGCGGTTTCGCAGCTGCTCTAAATGATAAAGATGTATGGGTAATGAATGTCATGCCTGTTCAATCCTCCCCAAGAATGAAGATCATCTACGACCGTGGCCTTATCGGAGCCACTCATGATTGGTATGTACATGACTTGATCTCGAAACATTGTGCGTAATCCTATCATGCTAAATGAGTTTTCTTTGCAGGTGTGAAGCCTTCGACACATACCCACGAACATTTGATATTATCCATGCATGGAACACATTTACGGAAACTCAAACACGTGGATGCAGCATTGAAGATCTGCTCATTGAGATGGATCGGATACTACGCCCAGAAGGATTTGTCATAATCCGTGACACATCAGACAATATTAGCTACATCAAGAAGTACCTGACATTGTTGAAATGGGATAAATGGTTCACAGAGACGACTCCAAAAGGTGATTCTCTATCAACCAAAGAAGAGAGAGTTTTGATCGCCAGAAAGAAACTTTGGAGTGTGCCCGCTATTTCAGAGTCGTGAAATCTATTAAGCAACAGGTGAATGAAGGAGTTTTACAGCATCAGAGGCATAGCTGAAGAAGATTCTCAGCGTTTAGGGTTATTTATCAGTAAGAGAAGTGGAGAAGTGTAAATTACACCGACTTTTATACATAGTTGTCATGCATTTGTTGTAGGAACCTGCAAAATCTTCTTATTTGCGATTTTCCCATGTCCAATTATAAATTTAAACTGTTTTCGCCGGGAAAAAAGAAATTTGCTTCGTGAGTGTAACGGATTGAAAAGTAAACTAAAGATTATATAGAAAAGAATCACTAACCCATTATCACTATTAAGTATCATCAAAACTGAGCCCATTAATTGAAATAGAGCAAGTACAGATTGAATTACAGAACAGGATGAACAAAAAGGGAGAGAGATCAAATCAGACTTATGATGACGATGTTGTTTCCACGACATGCTTCTTCTTTTTCTTGTTCTTGTTCTTGTTTTTCTTCTTCGAAGGAAGGTCACTGGAACTGAGTTCTTCAGGTTTCCTCTTGTTGCTGCTAAGAAGAAAATTAACTCTTCATTCAGCTCCTCAATAATACCAACAACTAACTTTGCTCCAACACAGTTCTAAGTTCATTCGTTATCAATCAGTATATTATCAACCTGAATTAAATATCCGACATTAAACTACTGTCTTAAACAAACGTTAGATACTCTTTTGTCTACCTTCAACATGCACAAAAATTTGACATTACTTGAACACCAAAAACCATTTTTTATACTGTACAGCAAAAATAAATACAGGTGAAAATTGATGGTACCTTGCAGGAGTCTCATCCAAAACAGTCTTGCCATCTTCATCAACTTCACCTATCAATACGCACTCTTCCATACTAAGCTCTCCATCTTCATCTAATTCACCTATTTTGCAGGTTGATAACAAAGAAAGACTCTAACTTGAGATTCAAAGCATGAATCCATGTTCCCAAAAGCAGTAGTAATGGGGATATACAAGTGAACAAACCTATTGGGTCTTCTTCCCCATTCTTTTCCTCTTCAGAGTCTGAATCTGATCCCCATCGGTCTCCTCCATCATCAAAGTCCCACCTCTCTCCATCTGGAGGCATCCAAAACTCAAGCTCCTCCTCAACTTCTTCACCATTTTCATGTTCGATTTCATCATCAACACCTTCTTCATTCTTTTCCTTTTCATCTAACTTTTTGTTTTTCTTCTTGTCCTTCTTCTTATTCTTCTTCTTCTTCTTTTTCTTCTCTTCTTCCTTTACGCCATTTTCTTTCGCTGGCGTTTCTCCACCTTCCCCTGGAATAGATCCAGCCTCTTTCTCCCGTTCCTTCTCCTCTGTTATATACAAGTAGAAATCAAACTATTAAACTCGTAAGAACCAACAAACTGAACATCTAGCACAAATAAGTTGTGCAACCTAATGAACTCATATCAAGCTTCAAAATACAGACCTAATCTGTTGAGGAAGCGCCGTCCATTGATATGCTTCCAAATATGTTCCTCAGTCTTGTTTACTGTATCGCCCGTTAGCTTACATTTCAGTTTTGAGCTGACAAAACATGCCAAGAAAAAAAAATTCAGCATATTGTGAAACACCATTTACTTCAACAGTATGAACTCAAAAACCTGGTAAGCATAAGGTTTTGAAATTTTCAACTTAAACCAAAAGCTCACAAAACCCTAAACCCTAAGACTTTTGAGGACATGAAACCATAGTCCCCAGCAGCAGAAGAACAAAATCAAAAGAGAAGAAGATTTTTCAAAACTTCTCCAGTGTCTATAACCCTAATTCAATACATGACTAATCAGAATTGGAATGGAAAATTTCTTCGGGAAGAGATAAAGGAGTAAGTAAAGAATAGATAACCTAGCGTTAGGATCTTGCTCAAACAAGTTAAGAGGAGGCTTGCTGTGTGACAAGGCATAATCTATAAGCCCCAAACGGCATCGTTTACTCTGTGAATAGATCTTCTTATCTTTCTCGAGTAGCTCGTGACCCGTCTGCACGCATTTGAATCTCCCGTTCTCGAGTTTCTTATACTTTGGCTTCCCCAATAGGTCAGCGCCTTCCTTCGTCGTCGTCATATCTTCCTCTGTCGCCGCCATTGATGTGAATTTTCTTTGCGATTTGTGTGTTTCACTCAAGGAGGGAGGACGGCAAGTAGTAGTGAAACAACTTAGGCTTGCCGTTTTACTGTAATTGATATCAACTGTACGTCGTTTATTGTTTTTAGTCTTGTTTAAGTTCCGACAGTAAATGGGCCTTAGTGGTCATAATATCAGCCCAGTAAAGGTAGAAGACAAACAATTAACACGCGCGGTCCTTGTATTTGGCAACTGTTAAAAAACTAACTTTTTTTTGTTTTTGTTCTCGTTGATCGTTCCGTCTCAAGAAAAACCCATGTTACGCTTTAATTTTATAACCGCTACAAGTCTAAAAAAACATCAGCGAACAATTGGAAAACAAAAAACAAAATAAATTGTTCACAACAAGAACACATGTAATAATTTGGTTCGGAACGTTCGATTTCTTTTTTAAAAAAAATATTGGTTAAATTTTCTGAATTATCTAGTCGTAGATGTATATTGATGCTTTCTAGGTGAATTATTACTATGGAGTGAAAGGTACCGACAATTAGCCCTGGGCAAAATATTCGTTAGATTCGCTTCGCTTCGATATTCGTTTCGATTCGATTCGAAAAATTCAAATATCTATAAGATATTGAACCGAAGCAAATATGAAAATGTAGTATTCGTAAAAACCAAAGCAAATAACAAATATTGATTTTCTTAGTGCCGAATATCCGCTTCGCTTCGTATATTTATATATATGTATTAATATAAATCATTTTATAATATATATATATATATATATATATATAATATGTGTATTTATAGATTTGAGTATATATCTTATAGGCTTATTATTCAAATTATTATATTTTGGTCCGTTTGTTTTTTTTGCTAAATGTTGTTCTTAAGCAAATAAAACTTTATTAGAAAAATCAATATTAAAAATAAAATGTGAGAATTCTATGGACGGTGGTTACGTTTTCTTCTTATTTTGAAAACATGTCAAATAAGAACCTCTAATATCTCATATTTTGCACTTTATATTTGTGTACTATATGTTTTTAGTTTTAAAAAAAAAATTAGATAGGTCGAAGCGAAGCGAAGCAAGTAATTCGCAAATATTACAAAAAATATTCGAATATTCGAAGTTTCGAATACTCGAAAATTTACGAAGCGAAGCAAATAACAAAATCAACTATTCGGTCGAAGTAAAGCAAATCACAAATATCAAAAAATTTCCTAATATTCGCTTCGTGCCCAGGCTACCGACAATGATAACCGTTAGCGCCTTTTCTGGGTTCCAACAGGAACACAGCTCAGGACTGTTGAACTGTGGTCCGGTCCAACTCCCAAGACACAGTTTTCAGAAGAAGAAAAAACACATTTTTCTCATACCCATTTTGAAGAAAAATCTAAAAATGAAAGTTTTATATCAAGACAAGAGTCTGAAGTGCCATTTCTTACCATCATCACACTCTCTCTTTCTCTCTTTTCTCTCTTTCTCTCTTTTTTCTCTCTGTCTCTCTATCAGTCTCGTGTTTCGTTACTTGCAAATCGCAAATGAAGAGTGATCTCGAAAGCGCAAAACTTATGGTTTCTTCTTCTGCTGTGTTTTCATGGCTTCTTCTGTGCCTCTTAACAGCAACAGCAACAACAACAACAGCCGTAACAGTTCAGCCGAAATGTACTTTTCCGGCGATTTACAACTTCGGAGATTCTAATTCCGACACTGGAGGAATCTCCGCCGCTTTTGAGCCTATTAGAGATCCTTATGGTCAAGGTTTCTTCCACAGACCCGCCGGACGAGACTCCGATGGCCGTCTCACCATTGATTTCATAGGTACAAGTTTTTTTACAGAGAAAATATTCAAAAACTCAACTTTGGTTTAATTGATCTCAGAAACTTTTGACTCTTGGATTGTGAATCGCAGCTGAGCGTCTGGAGCTGCCATATTTGAGCGCATATTTAAACTCGTTAGGATCAAACTTTAGACACGGAGCAAACTTTGCGACCGGTGGTTCAACCATAAGAAGGCAGAACGAAACTATCTTTCAATATGGCATTAGTCCATTCTCTCTCGATATGCAGATCGCTCAATTCGATCAATTCAAAGCGAGATCGGCACAAATATTCACTCAAAGTCGGTTACTTTTTGTCTTTTTTGTTAATCTTTAACTTGTCTGTAATGCTGATTTTTACTTCTGTTGATTTTTTTTTCAAAAACAGTTAAGAGTAGGTATGATAGAGAGAAGCTTCCTAGACAGGAAGAGTTTTCAAAGGCTTTATATACTTTTGATATTGGACAGAATGATCTCTCTGTTGGGTTTAGGACAATGAGCGTCGATCAACTTAAGGCGACGATACCGGACATTGTCAGCCATTTAGCTTCTGCAGTCCAGGTGAGATTTGAATGCAGTCCATGAAAGAGATATATACTGTTCTTTTTCCGCCTCAATTCTGAGTAACGGGGTTCGCTATGATGCTACATGATTGTTCGCAGAACATTTATCAGCAAGGAGGAAGAACATTTTGGGTACACAACACAGGTCCTTTAGGTTGTTTACCCGTAAACATGTTTTACATGGGAACTCCTGCACCGGGCTACTTGGACAATTCTGGCTGCGTGAAGGCTCAAAACGAAATGGCAATGGAGTTCAACCGAAAGCTCAAGGAAACAGTCATCAATCTCAGAAAAGAACTCACCCAAGCAGCCATTACTTATGTTGATGTCTACGCTGCGAAATATGAAATGATGAACAACCCCAAGAAACTAGGTTACAACAACATGCGGTCATCACAATTCAATTTGTTGTAACGTACCTAAGCTGTAGAGAGTTTCAACGTACCTATTTCTTGTATTTGCAGGATTTGCAAACCCATTGAAGGTATGTTGTGGCTATCATGAGAAGTATGATCACATTTGGTGCGGGAACAAAGGGAAAGTGAACAATACTGAAATCTACGGTGGCTCATGTCCTAACCCGGCAATGGCTGTGAGCTGGGATGGAGTTCACTATACCGAAGCTGCAAACAAGCATGTGGCTGACCGTACTCTCAGCGGTTTGCTCACTGACCCTCCAGTTCCAATAACTCGAGCTTGTTATAGACAGTGAGATTTACTAGAAGAGCTTAATGAAAACCAAAATAAAGATTTGGGTCTTAAACTCTTAGGGCAATAATAAGTTTGATGAACAATCAATGATCTATGTAAGCCTGTGTAACCTTAGAGTTCTTTGTAGCCAAAAATTCACTATTGTGATCTTATATGATCTTCTATGGAAGCGTTTAGCAAAGCGAAAGTTGTTTTCTTCTAGAAGTAGTTTTTGGTAATTGCTGCTTCTAACTCATTGAACTCCCAAGCATCGTTAGCAGAATATTCGCCTGAAACCCGAGAGAAAAATGGTAACAGTGAATCAAATTTTGATGATTTTAAAGAAAAACCAAATTGATAAGCTGATTTGTGAACAAACTTACCGATGGAATCCCGGCGAAGAGCAGTAAGGTGAGCACAACTGCGGCAAAAAAAGAATGCTATTTTAATAAAAATTCCAGTCTTTTTGGATTTCTTAGTAAAATAGAGGTGGAAAGTTCATTCACCTTCCAAGAGCTTTAGCAAGATCTGCACAGAGGGATCTAATGTAGGTACCCTTAGAGCATATAACTCGAAAAATAAGATTTTGCCTGCAAAGGAAAAACGATAGATGTTTATAGACACTCAAGAAAAAACATTTCTTTGCAAACAGTTAATGCACTGTACAGAAAAGGATCAAACCTGTCATCTAAACTGCGTTCGATTTCAAACTGGAAAATTGAGATTCGTCTTGGAGAAAGCTCTACCGTTTCTCCTCGTCTTGCCTTCTCGTACATCTTCTCACCTCCAACCTAAACATGAAATACGGTTAATAAGGTAGAAAGAATGCAGCCCATGAGATAATTTATAGTTCAAGATTGATCAGTGCTCACTTTTATCGCAGAGAACATTGGTGGAACTTGCCATATTTCTCCAAGAAATGATGTTAATGCTTTCTTTATATCATCATCTTTAATATGCTCCCAAGGTTCTCGTTGAATCACCTGAAGCAATAATACAGTTGAAAAAACTCTAACGAGTCATGGCATAGATGTAACGTAGAAATTGAACCATGGAAGCAAGGAAAGGATTAGTTGGAGTACTGGAGAGTCAGCGTCTAAAGTTGAAGTGGCTTCACCAAGACGAAAAACACCGCTATAACCTTTGATCATACCTTGATATCTGCAGATACAGAGGACTTTAATGTTTCTTTCTGAATAACATCATAAGCATAAACTTTGGATTAAGAAATCACAAACCTGTCAACAACCTTAGTGGCTTTACCAATGCACACAATTAATAGACCAGTAGCCATGGGATCGAGTGTTCCAGCATGACCCACCTGAGAAAGACTAATCAGCTAGTTGCGAAAAAAGCCGACAATTAAAACTTGGACTAGACAAGGATATAAGCACGAACCTTTTTCACTTTGACTAATCGTCGTAGCTTACCACAGACAGTGAAGGAAGTCCATCCTACGAACAATACCATAAACCAAATCACAAAACATTTCAAACAGCAAAAGAAACAAAGAGAGACTAGACAAACTGCGTCTCACCTTTTGGTTTGTTCACCAAAAGCACTGTACCGTTAGGACCATCCCATCTAGGAGGAAGTTCACCGTTTCTGGTAACAAGGAAAGGTTCTCCATCACCACCACCACTAGCCACACCTTTCTCACTGGGGGATTTCGTCAAACTTTTAAAGAACTGTTCCACTTTCTTCTCAGTAACAACCTTTTCCTCTGAATTCTTCTTCTCCTCCTTCTCCTTGGCTTCATCAAAAAACACCAACTTGTCATCACCATCATCATCCTCATCACATTTCTCCATACCAATTCGTTTAGCCTCGTTTCTCTTCCCGGCAAGTGCTCCCACTTTCTTCTTCCCTCTAGTTTTCCCAGAATCATCATTCTTCTTCAAAGTCTCTCCAGGTTGCAGAAAGGCCTTATCTAAACATTGATCAGGAAAATACTTCTTCTCTAACTGATACACCATCTTATAATGCTTATCTTTCTCCCATGGATACGCAAAAGTATCAAAGAAATATAATTCCTCTTCTCTCTGATGTAACCTATCAAATTCCACAACTTCAGGTTTCAATTCCACGAATCCTTCATCTGATTTCCGGCTGCTCTCGTCTTCAGAATCAGACCCGTATAGCCTCTTCCTCCTCTTACTATAGTACTTCCTCTTCGCCTTGTCCATTTCCGGATCTCCTGAACCGGGTCGACCCTTTTCACGCTCTAAAGCCAGTTTATTGTCGACCCACGAATCGAACTCTGGCTCTGCTGACTCAGGCGAGCCGGACTCGATGGCTTTAGGGGGTCGACGACGGGTTTGGGAGAGAGAAGACTGTGTGGGACGATTAATGATCATGTCGTATTGAAGTGGGTATGGTGTAGATGTTGTGGACAGGAAAAGAGATGCCAAGTAGGGTTTATGGATGTTTCTCATCGGTTTGACTGAGAAAAAGATGGGAGAAGTCATAGCCATTCTTGCAGAAGACGACATTAATCTTGTCAAGTGTAGAGATTTCGCCATTGGAGAGACCTGGAGCTGGAGGCGAGCGAAAAGATGATACACACCTCCGGCGATTGTTTCCCAGTGGTATCACCAACGATGATGATGATGTTGAGTGATGAATAAAAACGACACGATGTTTTCTCATTAAGCTCTGAGACGGCACGTTGTCTTTTGCTTCAAATCAATTCTACTTTCATTACTTAACTGACCAAAACATGTAACACACTGTTTTGTTTGTACTAAAGATAACAGTGCTCAGAACGTATGCTGTGGTTAAGAAGAATTTTTAAGGCTAGATTAATCAACAAACATTGATCTCAAGATCCTTCAAGAACCAAGTACTTATTTATTAGCGTAATTAGAGCTTCAATGCTCTGTAACAAACACTCAGGGTTTTGAATCAGACAAAGTTTTAAGATCACAACTACTAAGACGCGTAGGCACAAGCTGTACAGGTTCAAGTATGAATCCAGATTTCCGACATTCTTCTTCAAGAAGTTTAACCTGAGATGGACCGTCAGGACAGAAAACAACCACAGCTCCTCCGCTTCCAGTGAACTTTGCAGCTGCGCCGACCTTACGTGCCACTTCCACCATTTCTATGTTCATAGCTCCCAAACACTCATCTCCAAATATACTCCTATAGAAAATAGAATGTTCAGAATTGTTTATGCGTTTTGTATTGTTTCATATCAGATGGACATTTATCTCGGTTAATTGTTACCTTCGAAGATCGAAGTTACGGTTCATGAGTTCCTTAAGTTTGGAGTAATCTTTTTTAAGTAATGCAGTTCGACCTTCTTCTGCTAATTTTGCAATTTCTGCCATCGATGATATTATAAACTCATCACCATCTAACCACCTTCTACGAACTGAGCTATGCACCTGCATTTAAAACATAAGCCATTGCTCACGAGGGAATAAAATCAGAAGAAGAGTAGTGATGATTAGCTCTCCAACCTTCCCAGAGTCACTAGGATTCTCAGCATAGATGAGATGCAGAGGAGGAAGAAGGTTGATATCCATTATAGTGTAAATCCCATATCCAAGTTTATCCATATGCTCTTTACTAAAATCCTGCAAGAGCCAAGAACATCAAACCACTAGCGAGACAAATCATCCTCTAGTTGCAAAAGATCATTCTCACCATGTGAACAAGACCACCCCCATAGACTTGTGCGACACGGTCTTGAAGGCCTGCAACAATACCAAGTTCTTTCTCCGCATTCAGAATAAGGTTAGGCCGGACTTCGATTCTGATTGATTGCCTGACATTGTAGAAGTCGAGAAGGCAGCTAAGAGCAGCAGATACAATGGCACTGGAACCTGAAAGCCCTGTCTGAAAATCAAAAACTAATGGTTTCAGTTACACATATCAAAAAAACTAAATTCAGAATGACCACAAACAGAGACAAAATATGGAGTTTATAAAAAACCTGTCTTGGGATGTTGGTATCATAAGATAGAGTGAAGTTTCTATCATGAAGTTGTATGCCATGATCTTTGCAATAGTTGCGGAATACTTTACAAATCGCCATTAGCAACCTTACACCTCCGTAGTATCCGTCATTTTCCAATCGATAAACCTAGATCACAAAACACAAATTAAAATGTTAGAACTGATGGCTAAATTAATAGAGAATATACTGAAAAATGATCTGAAAGACACAAAGCATAATCAGGTGAAAAGCATTCTAAAATCTGTGGAGCTAAGTTTACAATAAAAAATCATTTTATTAAAATGTCACATGTCTAAATCTGAGTACATTTTAAAACAAATGGATGTAGCCAGAAACAAAGAATCAAGTTGGAAACACAGAGAGAGAGAACATACGAGGTTGTCGAGGGAGTGAAACTGGACAAGATCATGAAATGGATGAGGTTTGATCAAGAGATGATCAGATGGCTCGAGCTTAGCCCACGCCCAGAAATTACCAATGGTAAACGAAATCGTACGGCCGAAGTAAACATCGCTAGGGTTTCCAAGAAACCCGATTCTAGCGAACGAGCGATGCTCCAACACTCCCTTATCCTGGACCTCTTCAGTAATCTCAGGTTTGGGATTGGGATGATCCATCGTTATGATCTCTATCTTAGGTTCAAATGTGAAGCGGTTTGCCTAAGAGTCTAAGACTCTGCCCTATTTTTATAGCTGCTGATAGTAGAAACTTATCATCAAATCCGTGTAACTGGATGTACTCAACACGTCAGGTCGCGATGTATGTAGTTCAATAACAGCTAAGTAGCTTTCTGTAACAGCTAAGTATAAGTTTATGAACAGACATCGACCTGACAATGATGTGACCTTATCTCTTTTTATGAATGAACCTCTCGTCGACCAAAATCAGCAAGAGTTTGATGGGCCTTATCTTTTTGTGTTTCGAACGAAAATGGGCCTAATTACAAATATCACTGGGTCCTTTTAAAAAACATCTATAGGGTGTGGGAAGCTGAAGGACATCAACATGAACCGAATTAAACTCGGACACTAATAAATTGAGTTCTACAATATGGTTGGTAAACACTTGGTATGTTTTCTTAATCTCTTATAGACCAAATAAACCTTTAAATAATCCAAACGAACTAACAATAAACCGAAATACTGTTTAACTATTTCATATGAAATTAAGTTTTAATTCAATTTAACTAATTTTTTTTTTATCTATATCTTTGTTTTGCCAGTAACTGGAACAAACCGAACTACGTACGTGTATATTCAGATTAGGTGAAAATAGCCAATTTAGTCTTCTAACCAAATCTCCTATCGAAACTAAAACCCCCGTGAGAGATTAGAGATGTGAAGACATATAATATACAGTACATATATCCCTGATATATATCTAGAGCTTAATTAATTGTAAAACATGCCAGGAAAAACAAAGGTTAGATGATTTCCCAACCAATTAGCTCTAACTCAGTGAGAGATGTAATAAGCAAGCGCAACAGACAAAAATAATTGAGAAACCTTAAAAAGGGACAAAACAGGTTAATACAAGATTGGTGGGTGTGATCGTTAACAAACAAAAACAAAAAATGATGAACCAGGTTTTACTCCTCGTGTACGCGTGTTTGTAAATTATGGTCGATAGATATATGAAAATATAGTTGTGTATATATAAAAGATACGTATAAATTAACTATGCAGAGCGTTGGAGATCTAATCTAACTTGTTGGGTCAACAAACACTCTATTTCAAGTTCACGGTCCCAGGGTTGTTGGATCCTACAGTTCTTTTTGTTTTTAACCCTAGACAATGAATGTTTTGGATAATTCCTATATTTTTCTCCATATTATATACACTATTACTAATTATTAATAAGCATGACTGCATGGTATTTGCTGAGAAGTTTCTTGGTCCTTATAGCACGCAATTCATTTACATTTTGGTTGGGTTGACAATTTTAATTTTGGGGTTGAAATTAAGAAACAGGAAACGAACAATAACACGTCTTATTTAATATAGTCAAATTTCGAAAAAATATATGTAATCAACTTTCAATGCACAATATAATTAATCATCGACATAGTTTCGGCCAATACTTAATTATAATACATTCAAATAGTTGGACCATAGCTAGTAGTTTGTATTACTTCGTATCAGTGTTGTAGTTGTTATATACAATCAACTCGCAAATACGTATTATTCTTGTTGATGAAAGAAAAAAAAGTCAAAATAGTTGAGAAAAGAGCATAGATAAGTATATATTTTTCGATATGGTAAAAAAAGATAAGAAAATGTATAAGAGATAGGGTACAAAAGTCCATGTATGTACGTACGTACGTAGTTGCAAAAAGTGAACAATGGTCCTCCTTATCATTCACGTACGCTTCGTTTTTTAAAAAGTGAACTTATCTATGTTCCAATTACCTGGAAAATTCAATGTAAGCATATATAAATGTGTTTGAATCAAAAAGAAGAAGACAAAAGAATAGGTCAAAGATGTTCGCGGTAACATACTAGTAGTCGTTTAGTATGGTGGGACACTGGGCAATAATACATCATTTCGTGATACTCACGAACCCAAATCCAATGCTTTGATGAGTCAAATACCGGTTCCTGAGGTTCCAAAACTTGTTATGCTTATTCTCTTTAACCAATAAGATTGAGAGTTACCTCAAATTAATCTGGTGGATTAAATAAGCATGTGTATAACCTTGAACATAGTTTCTATTGGTAAGACACATGATATCATTGTGAATATGTAAAATAAGACTAATTAGGGATAATGCCTTGAGTAAAATGGTTCATTCACCGTTTTTCCGGTTTTGATCGGAGTTTGTCAATCCAAATAATGTTTTAAACAACCTAAAAAATATGCCAGATGCAAATCTGCACTTGCAGAATTAAAGAAAGTCTTACAAAATCTGAACAAACAAACTTAAATTAAATGATGAAATCGTAATTTTTTCAAAACTTTCAGATAGGTAAAATTAAACATGCAAAACAATTCGTGGGCACGAAGCAAATATTCAGAATATTTTTGATATTTATGATTCGTTCAGCTCAACCGAAAGGTTGATTTTGTTATTTCCTTCGATTCGTAAATTAAACTAAAAATCAGAAGCATTATCATAACGGGCCAAAATATAATAATCTAAATTATAGGTCTACTAGATATAAACTCAAATCTACAAATACATATACTATATATATTCTCTATAATGATTTATATTTACATATATAATAATAATTATATATATAAATATAAAACAATATACTATGCGAAGAACATTAAAAAAAAAGATTTTGTTATTTGCTTCGATTTTTACGAATACTACATTTTCATATTTGCTTCTCTTCAATATCTTATAGATATTTGAATTTTTCAAATCGAAACAAATATCGAAACAAACCGAATCTAACGAATATTTTGCCGAGGCTTATGTGATTAAACAGTTTATTAGAGATCAAAAGTTCTAGCATAGAGCAACTAAATTTTTGTTTTGTCAAGTTTAGGTTACCTATTCACTTAAACCCTTTATTTTTGTTTATGTCAACACCTGTTTATTTAAAAAGGAAAACTTATTATATATATAATGGTAAAGTTTAACCTTAACTTATACGATGAAGTTTTTATAATCATTTGAATAGCTTTCAGTAAAAGTATTTTATAGACGTGAGTTTTGGTCATAGATAATTCAGTTTAAATTAAAAAGAAAAAGATTTAGGTTTATTCCGTCTTCATCATATACGCATCAAGAGAATAAAACTCGGTCACTCGGAACACGTAATATTTTGACTAGCTAGAGAATAGGGAAGACGAAGACCCAGTTCAAAATACTGTTTATTATCATTGTTTGACATTTGCAAGTAAATCAAATAGAATAAAGTATATTCCTAATTAGCAAAATAATTGGACATCAAATTGCTACTAATCTAATAATTTGGAAATAGGTTATATTAAGAAAATTAATGATTATATATTACCAGGAGCATGTAATATTGACTTGCTATTAGAGTTGGTCAGTTGGAAGACGAAGACCAAATAATTCTGTTTCCAATATAATGCCAAGTAGTACATACAACTAGTAATTATCACCAGAGAAAAAAATTAATAATAACAATTCAAACCAATATTTTTATTTCTCCATATATCCCAAGTAGTAGAGATTATCAGTCGAAAAGGAGAACGAAATGTTATAAACTTATAATAGCAAGTCAAATCTTAGTTTTCTAAAAGTTCTTGAAAAACGCGTGATAACTTACGTAAAACTTTGTGACAAAAAAAAAAAAAAAAAAACTTACGTAAAACTTTTAAACTTTGTTTCTATCTGAATATCCAAAGTTCCAAACTTTATCACTTCAATAATTATATCTGAATATTTGGACTTTATACAGTTTGTATGCATAATTATTACCACAATGCAAAAGAATTATTAAAAAAAGGTTAAAAACAAATAATTTGGGTAGTATTGAAAATATATTTCCTCGTATATAATCACCCAATTTGTATACATTCCCAAAATGACTGTAACCAAATATGTAAATGCATATATTCTTACTGCTTTTAGGAAAATCACCAATATATATATATATGTGTGTGTGTTGACAAATAGCTATATTGACAGTTCAGCAAGGTAAAATAAAAAAAGCATTCTGACCGTAGGATCAATATCCAGACCCACTTATAGTAACATTGGAGGGATGAGATTATTTTGTTTCCTCTTTTCCTTTGATATACTAATATTTTTTTCCCAAATTTTCAAAAGCTAAATAATATAATCCTCTCCTTAATTAACTGTAAATAAAAAAAAAACTAATTAATTCCAGCAGTTTTGGGATATAAAAGAAAGGCAAAAAAAAAGAATCAAACGGCTATAATTGGCGTTACAGTTTTCCTAGAGAGAAGAGGGGATTTAGATTTAACAGAGATTTTTTCGGATATTTATTCTCTCCCCAGACTTCTCTGTTTTTTTTTTTTTTTTTCTCTTCTTCTTTATTAGTTTCTGATAATTTTTTTTGATTTTTTTTTGTTTGTTTGTTTGTCGGGCTTCGATTTCGAGGTCCGAGTTTCTTCTTCTTCGCGAAAATTTTCCCCAAAAATAAAAAAACGAGTTTTTTTCTTTCCTTGTGGGTATAATCAATCATGTCTGATGGGTATTATAGTTCTAAGAAGACGGACGATATCTGCGATGATGTTTGTGGACAGGTGAGTTCTGATTTTTTTATTTTCTTATCGATTCCGTAATGAATCGGTTTTGGTTTTTTGTATAAAATATTCGGGATTCTGATACCAACTTTTAAAATTGGATGAGAATTGGTTGTAATGTGGTTTTTTGATCCGAACAATGTTTGTTTGGTACTTGTTATAGGGTTTGTGTTCTTAATCTTATGCTATTGTCGGAATTTATGAATTGAGAGTACGATTTGTCGATTGTGTTTTGTCTGAAATATGTCGAGATTTTTTTTTAATGCGAATGCGAATGTCTCTGAAGTGACTCTTTTTCCTCTCAATTTTTTTATGAACAATTTAGGTTTTGTTTCGTGATAATCCCCGGTTAAACATTTTGTTTTTTGGATTGTGGATGAAATTTTGGTAAAAAATTGTTTTTAGGGTTTGATTCTTTGTATTCACAATATATAAATTCTCTGTATCTCAGTTGTGATCACATAAGAGTTTTTTCGATTCTTAGTGGACATTATACACACTATTGTGGATGTTATTTTATGATTCTCTGATTTGTGTGAATGTGTTTCTGAGTCTATCTCTGGGGGTTATTTATGTATTGCAGGATGGTTCTAGAACAGCCAAGGCTTTCTCAAGGGTTAGATGTGTTCTACGTGGACTCGATTTCAAGACATATATATTCTTCTTCACCATTGTCCCCATTTTCATCTTTGGAGTCTATTTGCACGGTCAGAAACTTACGTATTTCTTGAGACCTCTATGGGAATCTCCTCCTAAGCCGTTTCAGACGCTTCCTCATTACTACCATGAGAACGCTACCATGGAAACGCTATGCAGTCTTCATGGCTGGAAACACCGGGAATCTCCGAGAAGGGTCTTTGATGCTGTCTTGTTTAGCAATGAAGTTGATATGCTCACTATCCGGTGGAAAGAGCTCTATCCTTACATCACACAATTTGTGATCCTTGAATCCAACTCCACATTCACAGGTTTGCCTAAACCGTTGGTTTTTGCTGGAAACCGGGGGAAGTTCAAGTTTGTTGAGCCGAGGCTGACTTATGGGAACATTGGAGGAAGATTCAAGAAAGGCGAGAACCCGTTTGTGGAAGAAGCGTACCAGAGGATTGCATTGGATCAGCTCATCAGACTCGCGGGTATAGAAGAAGACGATCTTTTGATAATGTCTGATGTTGATGAGATCCCAAGCGCTCATACCATCAATCTGCTTAGGTGGTGCGACGGATACCCACCCATTCTTCATCTTCAGTTGAAAAACTACTTGTACTCTTTCGAGTACTTCGTCGACAACAAAAGCTGGAGAGCTTCCATTCATCAGTACAAGCCGGGGAAGACCCGATACGCTCATTTCCGCCAAGGCAACACTCTCCTAGCAGATTCGGGTTGGCACTGTAGTTTCTGCTTCAGGCGCATTACTGAGTTCATCTTCAAGATGAAAGCATACAGCCACAACGACCGGGTCAGATTCTCTCATTATCTGAATCCCAAAAGAATCCAGGATGTGATCTGTAAAGGAACTGATCTGTTCGACATGCTTCCTGAAGAGTACACATTCAGGGAAATCATCGGGAAACTAGGTCCAATACCGAGGTCATATTCAGCTGTTCATCTCCCAGCTCATCTGATCGAAAAAGCTGAGAGTTACAAGTACTTGTTACCTGGGAACTGCATAAGGGAAAGTGGCTGATAAGGGTTTGCACTTATCAGTCTTTCTAGTGTTAGGTAAATTGGAGGGGAAACGGCTTATCAGTAGAGGGAGTGTGAAACAGAGAATGGTACAGTTTATTTTCTTGGGATCCGAGGAGAGTGATTTGATAAGTGGAGTCTCTGGTTTCAGCATTATCTCTCGTGAGGGTATATAACCTTGTCTGCTTATAATCTCATACTGACCATGTTCCATTCTGTTCCCAGCTTGTTTTGGGAAGTTTTGCTGGAATAGTCTCTGTCTCTCTTATCTTTCTCTTTCTCTTTTTTACTTTTAAACTCTTTCTTCATACTCTCGCTTTTAGTCTGTACAATTTAGTGATTTCTTTACATCATCCTGAGATTCTTTGTAATCTTTGCTTATTTTTTCGTTTTATATCCCGAGTTTGTTATTCATTATTATTATTATTACTATGATATAATTCGATTGCAGTTGTTTTGTAAATTTTTATAATTTAAGAAGACAGACCCTGCTTGGAAACAGATGCTGAGATCATAGACAAAGCTTGCTCCAAATAAATCATCTTGTTCGTTTAAATGTGAATTGTTATCACTGTCACTGAAGCCTTTAATGACTAAAGCTTCCACAAAGCATGCTCAAAATGTATCCCTTTGAGCGGCCATTAAGTTGAATGTGAATCATCAATTATCACTTTCATTGAAGCCTTAATGCCTCCACTGTATGGTTGACTCAGTTAACTATATCTAGAAACGATATTACAAGGTCCCATGATGGTATCTTCAGTAATATATGTGCAGGCCCGTTAAAATGTAAAGTTTAGTAACTGAAATAAAAACCATTGGAGAACTGAAGACATTGAAACTGTTTTGTCTATGTAAGCAACATAACCACTATAGCAAACTACTACAACAACATCAAAGAAAGTTTGGAAATGGAATGAATTGCAAAGGAGGTCAAATACGGATTCCAGAAAATCTAAGAAAACAAATTAGTTGGCCTCTCCGATGACAGGAACAGGAAGCCAATGCCGATGGATCATACTTAAGTGGCTACTTTTTTTTTTATCTATTTACAACCCTGCTTCTGCATGCCTTTCTTCTCTGGAATTTCTGGTCGTTTATCAGGGAAAATGCAAGAAAACTCAAGTTCTTGTCTGTAGCTTGAAAACCATAGCTTAGCTTCAAAAGCGTCCCAACCAATTCAATAAGCTGTCCTCAGAAGCTAACTGCAAAATTCGCAAAAAGATCTTAATTAGTTACAAGTTTCTCAATGATTTTCTATATACTAAGTGTGTGTGTGTGTGTCTGAGGTTCTCACGGAAAGTAAATCAGGGAGAGTCCCTAATTCTGCATTCTCCAAATCTGATACGGAAAAGTTTCCGGACCCCATGTCAAAATTTCCATAATTAGGGTTCTTCTCCACAAGGGACGACGACGCTTCAACTTTCTTGGACGCCAAGCTATCTTCACTAACACTCAAATTCCCTGCCAGTTGAGCTCTTTTGTTTGATGTCGAATCAACAGAACCTTCTTGAATGTTCCCCAGTCCCTGATTATACCATAAAACATAAACTATAACTTTGTAACGCATGAGAAAACGTCAGTAATACTTGCAGAGAAAGGAACTAACCTCGGCTAATGAATCAAGAACCATCTTAGTATTATCACAAGTTGTTATTTCATCCTCATCAACAGAAATCACTGGTCTAGCTTGTGTAGGAGTAGTAGTTTTTGGTGTGCTTGGGCCACCTCGACCCCCAAAACTCTCACTCTCATCGATAGTTTTCTCCCATTGCTTTTGTTTCTGATATGTGATCTTAGAGACAACAAACTCCCCAATTTCACCTTCTTCTGTTCCCAAGTGGTACTGGTGCAAAACCCAATTAGACTTCTCAGGTTTCAATCCCTTTCTTGCGCTCTTGTAAAGCACCATGATCTTCTTGCATCCCTTCTGGACTCCATTGACCATCACTGGTTTGGTTTGACCAGTCTTGTGCCAGCGGACAGATTCATCAGTCAAACTAGTTGGTGTAACTCTTCTCCTCTTTCTCTGCCCATTTTGATATGCATGTGCCGTCTTGTTAAAGAAGAAGACACTAGTTCCATCCTTACTCACACCTACACCATTGTCATTTGTAATGTGATTTGATTACTTAGTTAGCATCTCGAAACATCAAACTAACGGAAGATTTTTCTTATTTTCTTACCTGGAAGGTTTTGAGGGTGAGTGTAGTTGATACCAACATCTTGAGTGACCGAACATATAAAGTCTTGGATAAGAAGATGTGGTTTCAAGCCATCAATCCCACACTTAGCTTCCAAATGCTCGATCACTTCCTCATCAGTTGGCTCGAATTTCACACCTTTAGGAAGGCCTGGCCATGGAGGCAAAACCTGAAAAACCAAAAACCATATTCACATAAACAACATGGGTACAAGCTTCTTCAGTTACAGGTGTTGTAAATTGTTCATTACATTGCTGTTGTCGACGGGGTAAGAGCAGTTAGGGCAGTTGATATAAGCTCCACAGTCTTTAATCTGCAGAGATGAAGACACAGACGCATTCTTTACATTCCTTGCGATCCATGGACCATCCACAATCCAAGCCCTGGGAAGAGTTTTCATAGTTTTAATGACAAGAGCAAACCATATATATATATGTATAAGGTTAAAGTAAAGGGAAACATGTCTTCTTCCTCTTTTTGTTCAAATGGGGAACATGTTTATATTATTATGTTCAAGCATTACTTATCGGAAACAGAGTGAGATTTCAAGAATCATTACTCAAAAGTTTCTTCTCTAGATTCTAGGCTATGAAGGACAATAGTTAAGATTCTAGTTGATATAAAAATGAACGATAAATTGTTTAGATTTTGAGTTGAAACTAATTTTTTTTTATAAGAAAACTTGGCATAAAAAAAAAATATGTTTTCTGTTTTATAACTAATAAAAAGCTTATATTTATAAAACCCCATATATTACAATGAAATTAAAGAAAAATATATTTACGAAAAAAGTAAGTATCGCATAAAAAAAAAAAATTCTGAGGAAAAATTTCAAATTATATGGTTTTTTTTTTTTTTTTATCAGTTAAAAGTTAAAAGTTTAAGACACTCAAAAACTGATTTTATTTTGATAAATAAGACAAAATAAATTAAACGAAGAAAAATATCAACAATTCCCAAAATAGAAGAAAAACAGCTGAAGTTTCGCATTTCTTAATCATAACACAGCAATTTTTTTATTTTTGTAAAGAGAAGGAAAACCTCAAGTCTTTTCGAGACTTTGGAGCAAAGATGAGAGACCTTCACAGGTTGTAGCAAAATAATAAAAAAGAAAAGCGATGGGAATAAATCAGAAACGTATAGAATCATCGGAATCAGCAACGGGTTATTAAGTGAGATCGAATCAATCAAATCTGAAGTCTGACTAAACCAAGATCTTGACATTTGGTTTTATTGTTTCAAGCTTACCTCTCCATGTTCTGTAGCTATACCAAGACAAAAGAACGACCAAGATGGGGAGAGAGAGAGAGAGAGAGAGAGATAAAGCGTTTACTATGCTAAGTAAAAAGACATATTGAAAGAGCAGAGAGAAATTAAGGTCGGAGAGAGAAGACGACGTATTATACGTGTGTGTCGGATGAGCGGGAAATAGAGGTCACGAACCTAAGCTTCGAGGAAAGCTTCTCAAGAACACAACTAGCTAAGGCCAGGCTCGGAGAATGCATCTTAGTGTGTTGACTTACGCTTCACTAGAGTTTGGTTCGGACACGAACCTTAACATTTGTAAGGTTGTGTTTAACTCCGAAGCTGTTGAGAGCTTCGGAACTCGAGCCTAATGGGAATTCGTAAATAAGTGTTTTTTTTTTTAAGTAGTAGGGCCAAAATACCTTGATCACCAAGCCTGCAGATATAAAAACTTTAAAATATTATTTTTTTTTGAGAAAAATCTTTAGTTTTTTACCCCTTTTATTCTGATTTCATTGATTTGGAAGAACAAAAAGGTACTAGTTATTTCGGGGAATGACCGTGACTGTTAATAACTTACACCAAGAGAGCATTTTACCCAACAATACACCATATAGTTTCATTTTAATCATTGCATTACAAACTGGTTCACAAAAATAATTGTTACATAAATCTAATTTAAAAGCATACGAATATGTGATAATATACAGTCTTTATGATATATAGAAGATATAAATCTTTTGTTTAGTTGTGAAATTTACTTGTGCGACAATATAGGATTACAGCTATGATATGAATGGTGCACACTTGTTATGTTATTTGACATGTTAGGCTTAACAACTAAGTCGTTGTAGTATAGTGGTAAGTATTCCCGCCTGTCACGCGGGTGACCCGGGTTCGATCCCCGGCAGCGGCGATTATCTTTTTGACTCTATTTGATATTTTGGTGGGCTTTTTTTTTTTTTTTTTAATCCTCTTTTGTTGAAAGATTTAAGAACATGCAAGCGTTCTTTTTTTTGGCCCATATTGTCTTGGTGAATCCTGCCCTTTTTCTAAATCGTCTTTGGTACATATGATTTGGCAAATTTGTCGTTTCGGAAGTATTATTTGTAATACTAATATGTGCAGCGTTGTGAATTTTGTCAAGTGATTGGGAGACTAGTGGCGAGAGCAAAGCTTTCATCGGCTCTACATAGTTTGATTGCTTGATAATCTAATGCAGAAGAAGAGAAAGTCAGAAGGCAAAAGGTTCATGAAGGAGATACAATTCTATTATAAGACTGACCATGTTTCCGGGTGAACCATACACATCAATGAGTCACTGACCCGTCACAAAGAAGGCAATGTCACAAAATTCTACATTTGCCTATCTTTCTGTGTCAGTCAGAAACTCAGAAAGAGCAATAGCTCCAAACTAATCATATCATATCAGCTTTGTTTGGGCATCCATTACGACGATTATGTTATAAGACTGGTGGTGATGTTTCCAAATTATGATTTCATATTAATTTATATGTAATGATGATATCAGTGATCCCCGTAAAGAACCTTGCGCGGATCAAGCTGACCGCTGCAGTAGCTTGAGGAGACAATAGAGAGTTCTTGTCTCCCTTTCCACTCTTCACGTGGCTTCAACGCGATTGGGGTTTCTATAGCCCCTGAATCTACGCACAGCATCGTTGTGTAATCCTCATCTCCCATATCTGCAATACTCTTGGCCTTCTTGTCCCAAGGGTTCCACACAACTGTTCATACCAAAGATAAACAAATTCACATTTTGTTCGCTTATTGGTTCAATGGAAGAAACAAATTCTTACGCACCTGCATTTGGCATGCCTTCCTTTCGCAACTCGATAGTTCTCTTTCTCTCATGGTCTATGATGGCAATCTTTGTTGGCGTGTTCAAATACACTCTATCAACCTACAGGGTTTACTGATGCTACATTAAGTTCTGTTCGTAGAGAGAAGTTTAAGCGGAAAACAAAAAGGCATTCCTGTGCGTCACATTACCTCGCCGTCAAAGGTAATTGCATCTGCCTGCTCTGTGAATCTTTCTCTGCGCATCAAGTTGTCCAGATAATCAAGTGTCTCCAGACCCTCAACCCGAACTTCACTGCAAATTGTAGGCCATGTAATGTTTACAATTGGCAAAAAGTGTTCTAAAGGAATTATGTAAAGCAGCTTTTCAAACTTAAGTTGATTAAAGAGAGTGTTGATATCAACCCGAAACAAGAACAGTAGCTAAGATCATGATGATGTGATAAAAACGAGGACGACATAAATGAATGGAGGAATGTACTGATAGAAGTACTGAAACAAGTACACAACATACCTTATGTCTGATACATATAAGTAGTTTTGAAGTGCAAAGGTGAAGGAGAAAGCTTTTGGGTCAGTGTTCCTCACACGCGGGATGATAGTAAGTTTTCCAGGACTGATAGAAATGCGAACTCTTAGTTCAAAGCTGCAACAAAGTAGGCAGAGAAAAATTAAGTCAAGAGATGATGACATTGAAATGAACTAGGAGACATATCAACTGTACATACCTATGAGGCCATATCCTCAAATCATCTTCAGTAGACTTGAGTACTAGATCAACAGTTGATTGCTGGTTAGCAGGAGGCAGAGGTGACGGATCATTGTCAAATGACCAGAATCTTTTACGAGCAAATCCATGTCGCTCAAGTGCACCGAGATTTCCAAACTTGAAAGACAGGGAAAAAACAGGGTTGATGAAAGAGGCACAATTAGATGAAGGAACACATGAATATGTGTATCTTAATATTGATCTGAAAGCTGTCTAACCTGTGGAAAGCAGACAGGTAATCCTCCCCTGATTGCCTTGGGTGGTTTCAGTTGCGCCTAAATGAAACATAGTAAACACAAACCATTGTTAATGAAAGTTGAACCGTTTTCTTCAATTGGGCAGAAATTTCGTACTCAACAACTCATTCTTCTACACTAAAAGCACAACACATGCGCTGGAATATTTTTTTAATAAAAGAAGCAGGCAAAGAAGAAAAATGGATTTCATGATCACTCATATGAAAGGGAATACCTTGCTGCTCATGTAAAGCAGCTGCTCTCTCCTTTCATTTCTCCAAGAAACTACTTGTCCTCCAAAGAGAAGCACCTGAAACCAGTTCCAGCCAAAAACATAAGTAACTATACAACCACCTCTTAGAAAGTTTCAACAAGCTAAATCCTTTCTACAATTTTAATTTCATCATGTAAGCTCAAAGTACTAATCACCTAGAGATCCTCATCAATCAATCTTCTCAAATAATCACCAGCCAATATTTGCTATGATAAAAATCAGATTTTTATTTTCCTAAGGCGAAATATGAAAAAAACACAAAAGGGTAAATGAAAAATAGAAGAAGACAAGGGAAAGGAGGAGGAAAGAGTGAAAACCTCAGCAGTGGATCCGCCAGGGTCGGTCAAAAGAATGCGGGAAGAACCATCACGATCGTTGACTACATTCAAAGGCATTGGTTTTGGCTTTAACCTCGATCTTATTCCCCTCACGAATGGGTTCCCTTTCCCTTTCTTCCACTCCAGCTACACCCAAAAACCCCAGATGCATGCTTTTCATCAATTTTCATTTTATTTTATATTCAAACACGAATTAACAATTTCGTTATAAAAAAAATCCGCAAAATAAGCTGGGAAATCGATACAGATAGATATAGTAGAAAAAACACTCTAACGGAGTAAGAACCAATAAAGCTCGGAGATCGGGTGAATTTTCAAAAACCACCAGTGAGCTACAAAGCGACTAGAGAAAGAGAGAGAGAGAGAGAGAGAGAGAGAGAGAGCGTAAAGGTGATACAAAAAGATATCGAAAGAGAAAGAGAGGGACTATTGATGTTTATAGAAAATGCTGACCTTGATTGATGAGGAAAATGGCTTTTGATTCTCAGAGATTTGGTTTTGTGAGTGGGGGAGCTTCAAGACGAAGATGAAGAAGAAGAAGAAGAAGAAGAAGACCTGTGCGCTTTTGTAGTTGTTCTCTGCATCAGCATAAACGTTGATACTGCCACGTGTACATTTCTCAATAAAATAATTTTGTTTTACAAAGCAACAAATATTTTTAATTTTTTGTTGTTTTTAATAACTTGGTATTTATGTATTTTTCTTCTTATCTATGTATTATGGTATTTCTTAATTAATACACTCTTTTTATGTATAAGATATTTAACATATTATTTGGACTTATTTTATATGATTTTTTAGTTATCCAACTTTTAACAAATATTTTGTGGTTATTTCTACTTTTTCATATTTTCTAATTATTATCTGCAAATTTTAATTTAATTATGTTTATAATATAGAAAGACAAACATAAATATTTTTATTTATTTTAGCCAAGACATTTTGTAAGAAAAAGGTAGTCATTTGGAGACAAAATTATAATAATACACCTCGAAGTAAAAATCTTTTCCAAAAATATAACCTATTTAAATACGTGAAATTCTATTTTTTAGTATTACCAAGGCAAATTAAAAGGTGACAAAGAAGTGAGAACACGAACTTTATTTTTTTTTACTATAGATTTGTTTGTATTTAATAGACTACAAAATTGTTTTTTCCGAAGAAAACATGTCAAAATTATATATTTACATGCCGCATTTTCGGCCTGAATGACACGAATGTATCAATTTTTGTTTTTGTCTAAAACTTTTTCATAACGTATGAGCCATCATTAAAAAAATAAAAATTGTCACCTAATCTTTAAAATTTCAAATTTGTACATTGTTTTGGTCGCACAACTCAAAATCTCCCTCGTGCAAAATCTACAAAATTGGGGAAAATATGTCAGAATTGAATTCCACAAAATAGATGACATATTGGACTTAATTGGATCAGAGCCGGCTCTGAGGCCAAGCTGGTGAAGCTTAAGATTTTGGCCCTTAAAATTATATACATTTTTTGGTCCTAAATTTTAAAAAGTTCTCCTAGTTTACGCGGTTAAGTATTTATATTGCATTTGTTTTTTCCAAAGTTCAAACCTATAAGACTACATATAATTGGTTTTATATTTTTTTTTTTTCCATTTTTTTGTGAATAACGTGGCCTAAAAAAAAATTAGCTTGTAGTCCTTCAAGTCTTAGCGACGGCTTGGATGGATCACTAATAGTGGTCTCGGGTCGATGAAGGCTAGCTGCTAAACTAAGCCAAATAAGAAAACCACAGCGACCAAACTCTTTTAAGTAAGGGTGATTCGTTCGTAAGGCGTGAATGTGTCTTACATATATAGTGTACAACATCGAGTCAACTAGCCAATATTTACCAACGTCACAACCGCAGTAAACTGTAAGAATGATGTATATATTGACAATGGGCAAATTAAACGTACGTAAGACCAATTTGCAATGTTGCATGTTGTTGGGAATCCACATCGTCACATTAAAAGATGAACTTATAATTAGTTGTATACTGTATGTAATGAATTAATGAATAATGTTCTCCCCTTAACAAAGACAATATTCCTTTCCTTTTTGTCACGTTATATTCCATTCCAATAGTAAAGAAAATTACTATTTTATATATATAAATAATCATGCGCATCATCAAGTATCATAATTCCAAATTTCATGGTAATTAGGCCGTAACTTGACTAAACTAATCTGGGGTACGTAAGGGAAGGATTGGCTTTTGATTAACGCTACTTTACATAAACGAGAACATCGAATCCAACAAACATTAAACAACTAGTAAGTTTGATTTATACATAAATTTTAAATTATATATGAATACTATTTTAAATTAATATAAGTTGATACTTGATAAAATCAATAGAAAATAATAGCATAACATATATGGATGTCAAAAAACTCAACTAATGAGTTGAGATTTAATGATTTCATGACATAAAGATTTCTTCTTCTTCTTCTTCTTCCTTTGAGAAATCGAGAGTGTAGAGAAAAGGGAGTGAGTTTCTTCTGTTTTATAGTTTACCAATACTCGTGGATTTGATGATAAACTTCTCACGGCCTTCCGTATGTGCATAGCTGTTTGGAGGCTGAATAGTAAAAATACCTCATGGGGTTCGTGAAGTGGTAAGCTAATGTTCGCTCTGACTCTTAATTTTTAGATATGCTCTGGTAGATGAGTGGAGCTGCTTCCTATCACTAAACCATCTTCACTTTTTTGGAAATATGGTAATGTCAAAGAGATTTAGTGAAGAAAAACCCATGTATCAACAACTGAAAGGACACATAGCTTTATCTCGATATTACAAGTAGAACTCTTTCTTATTTCAGATATGTGCTTAATAGAGGTGAATATTACAAGGAGAACTCTTATTAGGTTTGGTAATGAAAGAAGTGAGAATATTAATTAGGCTGCGACTGAAACTGGTTTTTAGTTTCTTGTATATGCATTTGGGTGTTCTTCTACTTGTTCTTTACCTAGTTTTACTACTTTGACTGTGTAGATTTGGTTGGAAAATGAAGAGGAGTTTTGATTAGCTAGAGGGATCAAAAGCAATATGAATGTGATAATTTATTCCTAAGTCGAAGAAGACTCTTCTTCTGCATTGATTCAATATATACAAAGACGTGGAACTCAACAAGGGGCTAGCTATGTGGTAAGTTTGGAGATCATGTCTTCCACCAACTTCAACATGGTTCCAGGTATCCGTTCCCCTTCTTGATCAATCTCCCGCATTATCTGCTCAATCTTTGACTGCTTGTTTTTTATGACGTACCCTGAGCAGTCCCTTAATAGAAGCAATAGCTCTCTTGCCATTTCTTTTGCCCTCCTTGTCCCGTCTACGCTCACTTGAAGCAATCCTGGCATCACTCCTTCTCTCAGTATCATTCCTCTGTTCGTCTCTCTGTCGTAGCTGCATATACACAGTAATATTCCTACCGCATGCTCTTTACATTGAGCTGACCCTTCTTCAATGGCTTCCACCATTACCCCTATTGCCCCACTGATGCTGGAAATTGACTCTGGTGAATGAGAAACTATATTCTCGAGCAAAGCTGCTGCCTTATGAGCCAATTCAGATGCTTTGTCACAAAAGTTTATGACTTGAAGCAAAGCATACGGTGCTCCAGAGGCTATAACCAGGGGAACTATCTGATGAAGAGTCGACAGGTTTTGCAGTGTTGCAATGCCATCAACCTTGGCCTGAATGGTAAGTCTATCGAGCCCAATCAGTCCAACTAAAAGCTGAATCATCATGGTTGATGCCATCTTGACCTTGTTTTTGTTACAGGAAGAGAGAATCAGAAGAAATGCCATGGCCATTTCAAGTATTACCATCTTCGTTTCTGACTGAAGGATCTCTAGCAACATTGGTACTGCGCCAGATTTCACAATGCGAACTTTGTTCCTGTAAGTTCACCAACAACCCCAGTTATTAATATATTTTTCTGTTACTACGCCGTAAACACAAGCCATATGAATAGGGTAACACAGATAGAAGAAGAAACACATACCTTTCACTGCCAAAGGCAAGGCTGAGTAATGCAGATAGAGCAACTTCTGTTGTGATAGAGTCTTGAGATTGTAACATTGAGAGCAAAGGAGAAATGATTTCTCTTTCAGACATTTTCTGTCTTTGCTTCCTGCTTAGATGACTCAGCTCTATAGCTGCTTCTATCTGAGCCTCTCTGTTACCGCTAAGAAGACTCTCCACCACAATATCCTCCATTGCAGCCACTCTTCTTCCTCTCTGTAATTTTTGGTTAATAACTTCACTTGGAAGAAGAGTGAAGGAAGGTGTGGTGGTGATTGGTCAAGTAAATATAATAGAAAAAAAACAAACATAGACAATTTGGTTGCTTTAACAAGCAATGTTAGGCTTTTTTTTGGGGCATCCATTGTTTCATGTTGAAGCAAACTCACTTAAAGCTTTTTCATCCTATATAGATATATATTTTGTTTTCTGTTCATTTTTTTTATTTTTTTATTTTGTAGATATTATAAGTTTTATATCTGTAAGATCTTAAAACCCCAGATGGGAAAGTAAGTATCTGTTTTGAATATTTTGTTCTAAATTGCATGATCTATCCAATGTTGATTCCTATAGATTGAATCTTTAATATTTCCTCAAGTAGAAGCAATGTAAAGCTTATCTGCATTATACAATATACACAGTACTGTAATTGATCCCAAGAGATTTATATGTAATTAAGCAATGAGAGGTTAGTTTTAGTTTTCTCTGCGAAATTTTGTTGTTAGTTCTAGTTGACCTTGGTATTTTTATCCTTATCAATATCATAGTGTGGTTTTTTTCTACGTTATTATAATTTGATTAACTAGATTTTCTTTCAACACTGACTATATATATATATATATATATATAATTTGATATGAATATGTGTCTCTTTCCTGAGTTAAACGCACAGATTATATGATTTCTAATAATTATGTCAACTTAAAGAATAATATATATTCTAACGAATGCAAATCAATTGTCTTTAATATACTAAACTGACAATGATACGCACTAATGGAATCTAATAATGGTATTGCACTTAACGTGAGATCTTAAGTTTATAAAAATTACAAACTATAATGAACAACACGTGACAAATGTTTTTTTTTGTTGGGTGTGTAATTGATTACTTATTTATAAAAAAGCAAAAGCTTACATATATATATATATATAGGGATTTTAATTGTTTTTATACTATCATCATCCTTCTCTTTTCGTTAGGACAGAGAACATATATATATATATATATTTTGTAACAAACAGAGAATATATATATATATATATCAAGTTTCTTGCCCATTGGTCCCTGACCCCGAATATATGCGTTGAGATTTTGAAAAAAAAGTGCTTCAGTTTTTCTTTGGTTACAAGTATGGAATTCAAATATAGTGTTGTATTCTTTTTAAAATATGTGTCTCAACAAATACTATATTTAAATTTTAATCAGTGATTAACATGTCATCCATATCCAATAATCTTGTGAACTAAAAAACACATTGTTATTTTTTCACCAATTTTTGTAACTTCC